ACATTAGTTACACGAGTTACACGAGGTAAAACAGTATGAGAAATAAGAGAAGATAAAATAATAATGTAGCTAAAAAATGTAGTCTGGTTTCCCTTCAACCAGTCAAATGTTGCAATCTTTGCTTTTTAATTTTATTACCGCAATTTATTTATTTTACTTAAATTGAACAGTTATTGCCCTTCAAACGCCGTCAAATGACGTCAAACGCGGTCAAATTCCATCAAACACCGACAATCGCCGTCAAACGTACAGTATAAAAATTAATTGCAATGAAACGACTATTTTACTTTTTAATTTTGTTACCACAATTTATTTATTTACTTATTTACTCCTTTCAAACTTCATCAAACGCCACCAAACGTCAGAGTTAAAGCATAGAATTAAGTTGCAACGAAACGACTACTTTATTTTTTAATTTTATCACCACAATTTATTTTTTTACTAACCAGTTTCACCCTTCAAACATCATCAAACGCCGTCAAACATCAGGTTTATATTATAAAATTAAATTGCAACGAAACGACTACTTTATTCTTTAATTTTATCACCACAATTTATCTGTTTACTAACCAGTTACTCCCTTCAAACGTCATCGAACATCATCAAACGTCATCCAACATCGTCAAACGTAGTCAAACACCGTCGATCACAATGTTCGTTTCAATATACAAGCGCTACGATATACCGCAAAGAGATTGCGAATCTCTAAAGATTACCGAGACAGAAAATTTGAGGTCGTTTTTCCCCGTCACGCTCAAGCATAGCGAATGATTTACCGTGGGATTTCTTAACGGTCCGCGAGGCAATCGGCCGATACACACGTCCGATGAGTCGGCACGTGGTGAGCGGACAATGCCGATGACTACAATTACAAGACACGTGTTGAATGAAATTCACCTTGCTGAACGATTCGATTAGAAAACGCGGTAAACGAACCGCGAGACGCGATAATCTGAGATGTGAAAAATCAGTTTTTCCTGGCTGTTTTATGTGCAGAGATTTTATGCTTGAATTTTAATTTGTTGCTGGGACAGCGGATTGCTTCTTTTGTTCGGTGATAAATAAAATTTGTATATAATAAAATAAATATATTTATTGGAGGTCGTATAAATTTATAGAATTTTATAGAGAGTGATATAGATTTTATTGAATTTTCTAGAAGGTTGTATACATTTTTAAAAAGTTTCAAACAATTTTATGGGAGGTTATGCAATGTTTAAACAATTTTATAGGAAGTTATATAAATTGTATAATTATATAATTATAAAATAAATTGTGTAGAATTTTATAGGGAGATAAATAAACTGTGTAGAATTTTATAGAGATATAAATAAATTGTATAAAATTGTATAGGAACATAAATAAATTGTGTATAATTTTATAGAAAGAAAAATAAGTTGTATACAATTTTATACAGGTATAAATAATTTTTATGCAATTTTATGGACTTCTATGAATTTTATAGAAATTTATAGAGGATGATATAAATTTTATAGTATCCTGCAGAGGGTTCTATAAATTTTAAACAATTTCATAGGAAGTAACAGGAAGTTATACAAATTGTAAATAATTTTACAGGAAGTTATAGGACTTTCTATGAATTTTAAACGATTTTAGGGGGGGATGACTAAATTATATGCAATCATAAAATTAATTAAAAAATTAATTGGATAGATTATTATTCACCGGCCAAAGAAATTGTTAGAACACCGCACATAGAACAAAGAAGAGACGGCCCCAGCTGCACCAGAAACTTCTGTTTCACAAATCCGCGCGTGCCGCGAATAAAAACCCAAGCACTCAACGCTAACGACTATTATAAATTCTCCCATTTGGTCATGTTATGGCAGATTTAGAGAGCTACCGTCCGCGGTTGCGTAACGCCAACTTTGTTGAGCGATCGATACAGACTGGAAAAAAAAGCGGCCGCGCTCAACATGGATTTCTAACGAGACAATATTAGTCACCGCGAGCCATTTGCATTCGAGAGAATCATTCCGATAGCCGAAAGCGTCGATTAGCATTTACCTTGATCTCGATGTCATCGATCACTGCAGTCTTCGCGCCAAAAAACGAAAGCAAAAAGAGACACAGAGAAGTAGATCGACTGTTTGGATCAAGAAAACAAACGTGTGTTGACGCTTTGATTATAGTGTTCTAATTTTCTCTGAGATACGAGTTGACACTTTATTTATTAACGGCTTTCTAAGTGAAGAGTTGCTGACGAATTGCTAATAAAGATTTGTTGGAAATTCGTTGAGAAGTTGCTGAAAAGATTGTTGAAACAGCGTTGAGGAATTGTTGAAAAATTATTGAGATATTGCTGAATAATTGCTGAAAGAAATTGTTGAAAAATTGTTGAGGTATTGCCGAAAAATTGTGGAAAGAAATTGCTGAAAAATGGTTGATAAATTACAGAAAAATTGTTGAGATATTGCTGAAGAATTATTGAAAGAAATTGTTGAAATATTGTTGAAAAATTGCTGGAAAAATCGTTGGAAAATTGCAGCAAAATTTACTGAAAAAATTGTTAAAAAATTGCAGCAAAATTTACTGAAAAATTGCAAAAAAATTGTTGAAGAATTGCTGAACAAGAATTGAAAATAATTGAAGAATTGCTGAAAAGAATTGAACAGAATTTAAAATAATTGAAAAATTACTGGAAAAAATTGAAAAATTGCTGAAAAAATTGAAAAATAATTGAAAACCTACGATAATCTCACGCATGTCCACGATATTATTTAGACTAATCAACCGTGGCAAGTCCCCTTAAAATGCTCACAAAAAGCGAAATCCCCGATCTCGAACCATGACTAAAATCCTTTAAGCGATTAGCATTGATAGTGCAACATTTTTGGAGTCAATGCGGAAGGACCGTGAGCGCGGAGGAAGAGTACAGCGACGGCGCGGATCGTGACAAAGAAATCCTTCGATCGTAATCGCAGAAGCAATCCAAGGATCCCCGCGATTCCTCGCAGTCCGATCGATGAATAAGAAATAAATATACGCTGACGTTCTCGCGAAATTTATGCAGCGATAAATTCCGATAAACGGCGAGGCGTCGAGACGCAAATGTTACGCGAATTAAATGGGGCTGCCGGTAATCGTCGCTTGTTTTCGCGAAACGAGTCCGAAAATTACGTCAGAGACGTGCACGTTCCAGATTCGTTTACAATCTCGTCGAGGAATAATTCTGCCGCAGACAAAATAAACAAGATAGACGATTAGCTGAGACAAATCGTTGGAAATCGCCGAGGCTAATTGATTAACGGTTCGTCGAACGATTGTCGATGGTAATTATGCGTGAAAAACGTGGAACTGCACGCAGCGATTAGGGAACACAATTTTTCCGATGAACGTGAAAGCAAAGAGAAATTGTTGAGATATTGCTGAAAGAAATTGTTGAAAAATTGTGGAGAAATTACGGAAAAATTGTTGGAGAAATGTTGAGATATTGCTGAAAAATTGTTGATAAATTATAGGAAAATTGTGTTGAGATATTGCAAAAGAATTGCTTAACGAAATTGTTGAAAAATTGTTAAGGTATTGGTAAAACATTGTTGAAATATTGCTGAAAAATTGTTGAAAAATTATTGAGGTATTGCTGAAAAATTGTCAATAAATTATAGAACAATTGTTGAGTTATTGCTAAAGAATTGCTTTAAAAAATTACAGAAAAATTGTTGAGATATTGCTGAAAAGTCGTTGAAGAATTGTTTAATAAATTACAGAAAAATTGTTGAGATATTGTTAAAGAATTGTTGAACGAAATTGTTGAAAAATTGTTAAGATATTGCTGAAAAATTGTTGAAATATTGCTGAAAAATTGCTGAAAAAGTTATCTCCGCGAGTTGAATAAAATGATGTCGCGTCGACCGACCACGCCGCCCTCTGGCGCAGCTCCGTTCAATTGCTGGCCGATGACGTCATCGGTGGATGTCGCGTAATATCGGGACGAACATCGCGAACGCGTCGACCGAAGAAACGCGTCGCTTGCGGATAGCGAGCGATTGTTGCATTTTGGCAAGAAATTGAAAAATCGATCGAAGCAAGTTTTTTCTACCGGGTGGTTAATGGAAAACGAGATCTCATTGGGGTCGTGAAACCAGTTCTCGCGGTTCCATTAAAATTCGGATCTATTAAAATTCGTCGTACGTTCTCGAAACGAAGCGAACGGGGGAACCGGAATTCGGTGAGCTATTCGCGACACGTAATGTGTTTCGAAAGACGTCGGAAGTTGCGTGAATAATTACCGCGAGATGTCCTGGTCGCCGAGAAGAGGCGGAACGGAATCTGAATGTCACGATGATCCGACAGTTCCGGTTGGAAAGGAAAAAAAGAACGTGGAAACATCATCGCGATCCGTTTGATTCGCAAAAACGAAAAATATGCGACGTTGCTGGGCGACGTCTTTCTTTCACTTCTGGGTCAGACGACGAGTCTCGCGTTCGCAATTGCGAAATTCGACCGAACGACCTTTTCTCGAATTTCAGAATTTTTCAAACACTTTCTCCGAGATATCTAATTTTCAAAATTTACCCTTTTCTATCAGCTTGAAAATTAAAACATTGCGATTTCTGATTGTTGGAACTTATTTATAACAAATTCTGTTAACTAAACTTCTAAGCTAAATAAATACTGCTCTAAATTTTCTAAGCTGAATAAATGCTGCGCTAAATTTTTTAAACTAAATAAATACTGCTCTAAATTGTCTTAGCTAAATAAATGGTGCTCTAAATTTTTTAAGGTGAATAAATGCTGCGCTAAATTTCCCAAGCTAAATAAATGCTGCTCTAAATTTTCTGAGCTGAATAAATGCTGCGCTAAATTTTCTAAGCTGAATAAATGCTGCTCCAAATTTTCTATGCTAAATAAATGCTGCTCTAAATTTTCTAAGCTAAGTAAATGCTGCTCTAAATTTTCTAAGCTGAATAAATACTACATTTTCTTGAAAACAATTAACTGGAATAATAAATCACAATTCACTTCTGTTTACACAGACATTTTCTGGCTGATGGCACTGGGCCTGTTCAGCCTGGCATTCGGCTTCATATTCGTCGTGTTCGAGCCCTACGAGATGCTGTTGAAGTTCAAGGTCACGTTCGGGCCCGGAGGAGAGATCTTCGAGATGTGGCGGAAACCAGAGATCGATCTCTACCTGAAGGTCTACCTGTTCAACGTGACAAACCACGAGGACTATATGTCCGGCAAGGTCAGCAAGCTGAAGTTCCAAGAGGTCGGGCCTTACGTGTACAGGTAAGCTGATCGATTAAAAATTGAATCATAAAAAATTGAATAATAAAAAATTGAATAATAAGAAATTGAATAATAGAAAATTGAATAATAAATAATAGAATAATAAATAATTGAATAATAGAAAATTGAATAATAAATAATTGAATAATAGAAAATTGAATAATAAAAAATTGAATAATAAGAAATTGAATAATAAATTATAGAATAATAAATAATTGAATAATAGAAAATTGAGTAATAGTAAATTGAATAATAAGTAATTGAATAATAAATAATTGAATAATAAAAGTTGAATAAAAAAAAAATGAAATAAAAACAAATACCGACGAAATGAATTTCAGAGAGGCCTTCGAGCACAAAGACGTGGACTTCAACCCTAACGGGACGGTAACCGCAAACGTGTACCACCCGTTGAAGTACGTGCCGGAAATGAGCGCCGGTGCCGAAGAGGACCTCCTGATCCTGCCGAACATAGCGTTGCTGGTAAGCGAACCGCCTGATCGATATTTACGACCGGCGTTTACGACGCCGACAGACGTTACGTTTGCCGACCTTTGGGCGCGATTATGCGCTTCACGATTCCGTAACTATGTATCGCGATCACGGATCGAAGGCGAAAAGAAACGCGTCGGACGTTAGACGTCCGCGCTGTTTCAGATATGACGACGGGCAGCAAAGTCGTCGCGTCGTTCGTCGCTGCAATTTCGAGCCAGGGTCACGCGAACATCGATCAGAGACTGGCCGAGATCGTGTAGATCACTGTGACGCGAAAGAATAACGGTTTTTTTACGGTCATTAAAATAATACTGTTCGCTACAATAAAACTGTTCGACGTTGCGAGAAACTTCCCGGCGGACGCTGGAGAAAAACGCGGCGACGCATTTCATTTGAAGACCGGTTGGACGGAGCAAACAACCTTCGGGGGTTCCCAGCGGCAGCGGGATGAGAACGGGGTGCTGTGGGCGATCATTATCTTCTGTTTATTTTGAGATTATTTGATATTGGACTTTTGAAGTCGAATCGTCGGATATCGGTTTTTGGTATTGGGTCTTTAGGATAGTAGGCTATTAGACTTCAGTCTTTAGGACATCAGAGTTTTGGACATCAGTCTTTGGACAGCAGGCTTTTAGACTTCAGTCTTTGGACACCAGGCTTTTAGACTTCAGTCTTTAGGACATCAGTCTTTGGACACCAGGCTTTTAGCCTTCAGACTTTTGGATATCAGTCTTTGGACACCTGGCTTTTAGACTTCTGTCTTTAGGACATCAGCCTTTGGACACCAGGCTTTTAGACTTCAGTCTTTAGGACATCAGTCTTTGGACACCAGGCTTTTAGCCTTCAGACTTTTGGATATCAGTCTTTGGACACCTGGCTTTTAGACTTCTGTCTTTAGGACATCAGCCTTTGGACACCAGGCTTTTAGACTTCAGTCTTTAGGACATCAGTCTTTGGACACCAGGCTTTTAGACTTCAGACTTTTGGATATCAGTCTTTGGACATCTGGCTTTTAGACTTCTGTCTTTAGGACATCAGTCTTTGGACACCAAGCTTTTAGACTTCAGTCTTTAGGACATCAGTCTTTGGACATCAGTGTTTTAGATGTCAGTCGTTTGGATATAAGTCTCTTTTTACTGCAGTCCCCTGAATGTCAGACTTTTGGTCGTCACACTCTTGGATGTCAGATCCTTGGACATCACTTTTTTGGACGTCTGTCTTTTAGATGTCAATCTGTTGGACGTAAAATCATTTTATTTCAATGTTTTGGTCATAAAGTCTTCTTACACCTTAAACCTTTTTAACCTTCTTAAAGTTTCTTGGGCATCAGTCCCTTGGATGTCAATGATCTGGATTTTCGTTTTTCACATGTAGTCTTTAGGAGATAAAATCTTTTCGCTCCAGTTTCTTGGACGTCATTGCATCGTACGTCACTCATTTGGATGTCAGTCATTAAGACGTCAGTCCCTTGGATGTCAATGATTTGGGCTCCAGACTTTTGGATGTCAGTCTTTTGAAGATCTTTTACTTCAATCTTTTAGATGTCTTATGTCTTCCGAACCAAAAATCTTTCTACTCCATTTTCATGGAAATAAAGTCTTCTTACTCAAGTTTCTTGAACATAAAGTTTCCTTACTTCAGTCCTCTGGACTTCAGTGTCACGGACAAACTGAACAAATGGCTGACAGTCCCGCATTGTCACTATAGCTACAACTGAAATTAGAACTCGTCGTCCTAAATGCACGGCAACTCCTACGAATGATTGACAATGATTCCCGGTTGTGGGATAACAGTAGCATACACAAGCACCGTGAAATTGTTGCGCTTTAATAAAGGACACCGTTAAAATAAGAGACGCTCTTGCGCCGCGTTTCACAAGAGAACTTCCGGAAATCTTCGTTCTTCTCTGTCGCTGACCTTACAACACGCGGAACTATAATCCGCGTTTGCACAACAATCGGCAGCAATTCCGAGACGGATTGCCACACTAAATTCGCTGACTTGTCTGCGTGATCCACGACGAACTACCATAAAACATCGTGTAGAGGATCTCATCGTTCGGAGCACGCGTCTCGAAATAAATTCCGCGGAAATCACCGGTTGTTTTCGTTTTACTGCAGAGTTGATTACTCGGTACGTCTAATTCCAGAATTATAGAAAAATTAGCCGTGAGAGATTTGACAACACTGTAGCAAGCCGAGACTGGCTTTATGATTCCTTTGCTAGTTTGTCTCGACTTCTTTGTTCCTTTAATTTTATAGTGTTTTTTGGAGCTTTCGTGTACTTTTCTGTACTTTAGTGTAGCTTAGAGTACTCTGCAGTACTTTGGTGTATTTTGGTATACTTTAGGAGTATCTTTGAGTACTCGTGTGTATTTTTGTGTATTTTGATATACTTTTGGTGTATCTTGGAGTACTCGTGTGTATTTTGGTATACTTTTGGTGTATCTTTGAGTACTCGTGTGTACTTTGGTGTATTTTAGTGTACTCGTGTGTACTTTGAGGTATTTTTGTGTACCCTTGTGTACTTCGACGTATTTTTGGGTACTTTGGTGTAATTTGTATACCTCGGTATAGTCTTGGTAACTTTTGGCGTAGTTTGGTACATTTTGGCGTATCTTGGAGTACTCTTGTGTACTTTGGTGTATTTTGGGGTATTTTGGAGTATTTTGGTGAACTTTGATCTACTTCGGTCTTTTTTTACTATATTTTGGTGTATCTTGGAGTACTCTGTTATATTTTGGTATAATCTGGTGTATTTTGGTATATTTTAGTTTACTTTGGTCTACTTTAGTCTTCTTTTATTATATTTTGGTGTAGTTTGGTGTATCTTGGAGTACTCTGGTGTAATTTGGTGTACTCTTGTGTACTTTGGTGTATTTTTGTGTACTCTTGTGTATTTTGGTGTACTTTGGTCTAGTTTGGACTTCTTTTATTATATCTTCGTGTAGTTTTGTATATCTCTTAGAGTACTCTTGTGTATTTTGGTGTATTTTGATGTACTCTTGTGTAATTTGGTGTATTTTGGTGTAATGTGATATAAATACTTTGGTGTACTTTGGTGTAGTCTTAGTATATTTTGGTATAGTTTAGTACACTTTGGTGTATCTTGGAGTACTCTTGTGTACTTTGGCGTATTTTAGTGTACTCTTGTGTATTTTAGTGTATTTTGCGTACTCTTGTAAACTTCGGTGTACTTTGTTGTAGTTCTAGTATACTTTTATGTAGTTTGGTGTACTTTGGAGTAGTTTCAGTATATTTTGGTGTAGTTTGGTGCATTTCTGTGTATCTTGGAGTACTCTTGTGTACTTTAGTGTACTTTGGTGTAGTTTTAGTATTCTTTAATGTACTTTAGTGTACTTTGATGTAGTTTGGTGTACTTTTAGTATATTTTCGTGTAGTTTGGTGCACTTTACTGTATTTTGGTGTACTCTCGTGTACTTTTCTGTACTTTGCGGTACTTTGCTGCAGCAAAGCGTACTTCGCCGTTCCCCGGACATTTCCGTACATTCCTCTAACTATCTCTAAACGATGTTTCCACGCTTCCTCAGCCTTTACGTATCTCGACATTATGTTCCCCTATCCGACATTCACAAGATAAACACCGTAGCGGTACTTTCTCGTCCAACACAAGAAGACCGTATCCTCCGCAATTGATTACAGTCTCCTCCCATTAGCCCACTTATGTACTTTTCATCGTCAATGAGGCGTTGTACAACCATTGCCCAGAACAAATAGATTTCACCGGCTCCCAGCGAGTTCTACAAGCGGCGACCCCGCATTATACAAGCTGTGTTACAAGACCATAAGCACCATAATCCGTAAACATGTCAACAGAATCGTAGATTGTATCATGTCGACCGGTGTGACCTAGCTTGTTGAAAGAACGCACATTAATCGTCGCAGTCGTGTTTGCCTCAGCCTTGTTGCACCAACGAAGGCTGCCGCGAGCATGCTTTCACATTGTTGTTCAACTTCGGGTTACAGCGCGTACGGAAAACTCCGATTTCGCAGAAAGATCCGCGCGTTCCTCCGCGTTATGAATGAGAGTGGCCACGTAACCGCGCGTAAGGAAGCATAATACGCGCGCGCGCGCGGCGACCCGCTTATTAAACCGCAGCCGGTTTCTACCATTCTGCCCGGTTCGCGTCGGTCGGAGCCGAGATAATCTTTGGCAAGGTGTCAAACGCCGTGCGTCGGTCTGCAAGCTCAATCGCGCAGCCGTGCATGGTGCCTCAGAATTCAATGCTCAAGAAACGAACAGCCGATGATCCGTTTTAAAATTCCTCGTGCTATTTGAAACAACTTTTTCCTTTGCGAAAATGCTCTACGAGGCTCCGTTGACGAGTTATCGGCGATCTACTCCAGGCCAATTAGAGCACGTGGGCGGGGCGACGACGGACGGGGCGTGGCGCTGTGCGTTTTTCATCGATAACTTTTTAACGGAGCCTCGTAGGACATTTCCGCAAAAGAAAGAGTTGCTTCGAATCGCCTCGGGAATCTAAAAATCAGCGTTCGCAAGTCTTGAAAATTTATCGAGCATTGTATCTTGAGACTAGATGCAACGATTTAATCTTTTCACCTTTTTCGAAGTGCGACGAGAGATTTTAAACATCCTATAGAATTTATGCGACGCGTTCGTCGCATAAATCGAATCGTATGTTAATCGGCCAGGCCCAAGGTTCGCTTCTGAAGCCGGTTACGAGCCGCGCGGCGATAAAAAGACGACGGAAATGGTAAATCGCTATTCGATTACGCGTACAGATCAATATCTAGCCGCGTGCAATCGCGTAGATCGGAGTCATCGATTTCTCGCGGTTATTTCCATTTTCCGTCGGACAATCGTCTCTCTGTCCACTGTGCTTCCTTATTCACTCGAACGAAGATTAATATTCATGAGGTCGAGGTGAGTCGCGCTAGAACAACTCCAAGGCTCCAGCGCGAATATCGTCGCGACTTTTGACATGGTTTTTGCTGGACTATTTTTATTTTCAATTATAGATTCACTGTCTTCGATTCGGATTTCTAGCCATTTGCATTATTATTTCTAACTTTTCATTTTTATTGCCGTCTTGCAATATTTTATTTCTATTGCCATCTTGCAGTTTTTTATTTTTGTTATTATCTTGCAGTTTTTTATTTCTGTTGCCATCTTGCAATTTTTTTATTTCTGTTGTCGTTCTGCAATTTTTTATTTCTATTGACACCTTGTAATTTTTTTACTTCTGTTGCCATCTTTCAGTTTTTTATTTCTATTGCCACCTTGCAATTTTTTTATTGCTATTGCCATCTTTCAGTTTTTTATTTTTATTGCCATATTGCAGTTTTTTATTTCTATTGTCATCTTGCAATTTTTTATTTCTATTGCCATCTTTCAGATTTTTATTTCTATTGCCATCTTTCAGATTTTTATTTCTATTGCCATCTCGCAATTTTTCATTTCTATTGCTATCTCGCATTTTTTCATTTCTATCGCCGTCTCGCATTTTCTTTATTTTTATTCCTGCTTTGACAGTGGTGACGCAACAGACTCCGATCGATTCAAAGTAAAACAATGATCGTCCTCTGCTGCGAAATTCCGTGCATCACGCTTACGTCCGATAAACGAGTCTGTGGGAAAAAAAATTGTCACGCGAGAACTTTTTTTCCCTCGAGACCGATTTAATCGCCGATATCCGGTGTTGTTCTCCTGATAAATATTGATCAACAGGCTGCATCTTACAGAGGACATTGCATTACATAAGAATATGATCACGTGTATTAATTAAATAATTACGATACGTTGGACACGTGATGCGCAGTGTCGTCAAATATTTACGAGAATCCAATCACGAGACCGTATGAAACATCCTTCGTGGAATGAACAATAACGTCGGCACGATTGCTAATGTTTTATTCCAATTAGTCATTTGCAAAACGGAGCGGAAACTGCAGCTACTTTTCTGTCATCTTCTCCAAATGTCTCAAAAAGCTGCTTCAATTTTCTGCCGCGTTTCGCGACAAGAAACGATTCCCGGAGAATGACAGCTAGGTATTATGAAGGTAGAGACTTCGCGCTTTGAAACAAGCCTAAGTGGAGGTCCGTGCGATTTTTTCCCGCGAAGTTACAGCGGCTCGAACATCGCTGTGCACGTATCGAGGTGATCCAGCGGTTATCGACGGAGGCGTGAATGGAAGATGAGGAACGCCGATGGGACGGTTCGCGGGTCGTCGACTGCTAAACAGAGTCCGGAATAATTTGCGAAGTGCATCCTTATGTAACACGTGCATGCATGCATGCATAAATGCATGCACGCGGCCGTCAGGAATGCCGACGCGATGCGCGGGCGCGCGAGATCCTCGCCGCCGCGAACGTGCGGCCAATTACAACGGCGTCAATGAACTTTCGCGGATGATAAAAACCGCGGAAGCGCGGCGGTCGTTTCACCGTAGCGTTGGATAAAAAAAAGCGCGCGGGAGATTGATCGGACCGTCGCGGAACCAAACGGAACAATAGGCTTGTTGAGTCGCGCGAACAAGCGGCCGACGATCGACACCCTCGTTAAACGCCTCGCGATAACAAACTGCCCGCTAATTAACGCGTCGACACTTGGAACACGGCAGATAAACTACAAACGGAGAATAAGCGGCGCAGATTGCCGTCGGCGACTGCGAATTTCTCCGAGGAAAAAATGATCGTTGGGCAATTTTTAGTTTTAATTTTTTAGCGTAATTTTTAGTCTTAAAATTTTTAGTCTTAATTTTTAAGTAAGATTTTCAGTTTTAACTTTCAAATGAAATTTTAATTCTTAATTTTTAAAGAAAATTTTAAGTTTCAATTTTTTANTTTCAGATTTTTATTTCTATTGCCATCTCGCAATTTTTCATTTCTATTGCTATCTCGCATTTTTTCATTTCTATCGCCGTCTCGCATTTTCTTTATTTTTATTCCTGCTTTGACAGTGGTGACGCAACAGACTCCGATCGATTCAAAGTAAAACAATGATCGTCCTCTGCTGCGAAATTCCGTGCATCACGCTTACGTCCGATAAACGAGTCTGTGGGAAAAAAAATTGTCACGCGAGAACTTTTTTTCCCTCGAGACCGATTTAATCGCCGATATCCGGTGTTGTTCTCCTGATAAATATTGATCAACAGGCTGCATCTTACAGAGGACATTGCATTACATAAGAATATGATCACGTGTATTAATTAAATAATTACGATACGTTGGACACGTGATGCGCAGTGTCGTCAAATATTTACGAGAATCCAATCACGAGACCGTATGAAACATCCTTCGTGGAATGAACAATAACGTCGGCACGATTGCTAATGTTTTATTCCAATTAGTCATTTGCAAAACGGAGCGGAAACTGCAGCTACTTTTCTGTCATCTTCTCCAAATGTCTCAAAAAGCTGCTTCAATTTTCTGCCGCGTTTCGCGACAAGAAACGATTCCCGGAGAATGACAGCTAGGTATTATGAAGGTAGAGACTTCGCGCTTTGAAACAAGCCTAAGTGGAGGTCCGTGCGATTTTTTCCCGCGAAGTTACAGCGGCTCGAACATCGCTGTGCACGTATCGAGGTGATCCAGCGGTTATCGACGGAGGCGTGAATGGAAGATGAGGAACGCCGATGGGACGGTTCGCGGGTCGTCGACTGCTAAACAGAGTCCGGAATAATTTGCGAAGTGCATCCTTATGTAACACGTGCATGCATGCATGCATAAATGCATGCACGCGGCCGTCAGGAATGCCGACGCGATGCGCGGGCGCGCGAGATCCTCGCCGCCGCGAACGTGCGGCCAATTACAACGGCGTCAATGAACTTTCGCGGATGATAAAAACCGCGGAAGCGCGGCGGTCGTTTCACCGTAGCGTTGGATAAAAAAAAGCGCGCGGGAGATTGATCGGACCGTCGCGGAACCAAACGGAACAATAGGCTTGTTGAGTCGCGCGAACAAGCGGCCGACGATCGACACCCTCGTTAAACGCCTCGCGATAACAAACTGCCCGCTAATTAACGCGTCGACACTTGGAACACGGCAGATAAACTACAAACGGAGAATAAGCGGCGCAGATTGCCGTCGGCGACTGCGAATTTCTCCGAGGAAAAAATGATCGTTGGGCAATTTTTAGTTTTAATTTTTTAGCGTAATTTTTAGTCTTAAAATTTTTAGTCTTAATTTTTAAGTAAGATTTTCAGTTTTAACTTTCAAATGAAATTTTAATTCTTAATTTTTAAAGAAAATTTTAAGTTTCAATTTTTTAGCAAAATTTGTTTTAATTTTGAAACAAAATGTTAGATCTTAATTTTTAAGCAAAATTTTTTAAGTTTCAATTTTCAAGGAAAATGTTTAAGTTTTAATGTTTAAACAAAATGTTAGCGCTTAATTTTTAAGCAAAATTGTTCAAGTATCAATTTTCAAGCAAAATTTATCAGTTTTAATTTTCAAGCAAAATTTATCAGTTTTAATTTTTAAGCAAGATGTTTGCTGTTGATTCTTATATAAAATTTAAAGTTTTACTTTTTAAACAAAATGATTGAAATCCTTTTCAATCTGAACGTATTAAGGTTGTCTGGACAATTTTGGTTCTATTGTTGCTTCTGCTATATATTCTTTGGTTCATTAAATCTGACACGACGATTAAACTGGCCTATTTTCTTCGTTCCAGAGCATCACCAATGTGATGAAGGATGCGGCCTATTTCACCAGGCTCGGTTTGAACATGTTGATCCATCACACCGATTCCCAGCCTTTAGTTCGAATGACTGCTCGAGAGTTCATGTTCGGCTACGAGTCCACGCTCGTCACCCTCGGCAACAAGATGATGCCAGCGTGGATCAAGTTCGACAAGCTTGGACTAATTGATAGGGTAAGTACGTTGGAGGTGTGGCAATGCTAATCTGTCTGAAGTGAATTTGCGGATTTCATTTAATCAAATGAAAAATAGTTACAATTTTGATTTGTTGATTTGAAACATGCTATTGAAACATGCTATAAGAATATTTAAGAGTGAAGTAGACTATTTAAAAGTGACATAGATTATTTAAACATGGAATAGGATATTTAAAACTGTAACAAGATAATTAAAAATGAAGTAGGATATTTAAGAATGAAATAGGATATTTAACAATGAAATAGACTATTTAAAAGTGAAGTAGACTATTCAAATGTGGAATAAGCTATTTAATCATGAAATAGAATATTTAAACATGGAATAAGATATTTAAAACTGAAACAAAATAGCTAAAAATAAAATAGGATATTTAAGAATGAAATAGGATACTTAACAATGAAATGGACTATTTAAAAGTGAAATAAGCTATTTAAACATGAAATAGAATATTAAAAAGTGAAATAGACTGTTTAAACATAGAATAGAATATTTAAAACTGAAACAAGATATTTGCAAATAAAATAAGATATTAAAAAATGAAATTGGAAACTCTTAAAACTGAAAATAGAATATTTACAAAAATAATATATACAAATTTGTTATCTTTTCTATGACTACTTATATCTTCTGTGACTTAATTATTCCTACGATAATTTCGCGTTAAACAAATAATTAAGTAATCGATTTGTTGTTGTATCATTTCGTTTGCTATTTGCCTTGCAGATGTACGATTTTGACGGGGATTACGAAACAGTTTACACTGGAGAAACCGACGTCACTATGTCGGGGCTGATTGAAAAGTACAACGGCGACGTGAATCTGCCGCAATGGACGGGGAAGTGCGCGAACGTGAACGGCTCCAGCGACGGAACGAAGTTCCCTGGTTTCATCAAGCCGAACGACACCGTGCTCTTCTTCAGGAAGAGTCTGTGCCGCAGTGCTCGCATGGTGCGTTGAATACCGCTCGCAAAAATTCGCGTCGGAAAGATATCGCCCAAAAGAAAAGCAGAGATTCCAAGCTTCAATTTAAAAAAAGAATCATTATCTTACGATGATTTCTCGCAGAGTTATCGGTAGTCGAAGTTGACCGATTTCTATTCACAGTGCTCGGAACGCTTCGGTACGCGACGTTGGGCTCCGCCTCCTGACCACCTCCGCAACACCTCGCTCCACCCCCTCCCTCCGCGCTGCTTCCACTGGCTCGCGGGCAGTGGGGAGGCGGAGCCTAGTATTGCGTTGCGAAGCATTCCGAGCACTGTGAATAGAAATCGGTCAACTTCGATCGCTGATAACTCCGCAAGAAGTCATCATAGGATAATGATTCTTTTTTTAAATTAAAGCTTGGAATCTCTGCTTTAACGTACTGTTCCTTGATTTTAAATTCGATGCACCCTCTCCACTGTAACCCTCAAAATACAAGAGCATGTTTGTCACATAGATAATTGCTAAATTTTACGAAATGCACGGTCTTCTATAAATTTTTTTCCGAGATGCCGTTTGCAGTAAAATGAAGTACGATCCTTCCTCTTTAATTTAAGAAAAGAGAGACGCGGCTGCGATTTTTTCCCGCGAAGTTACCACGCTCAAGAGCAACCCTTGCAGTGTGTTTCTGGCACGACCTGTATAAAATAGTAAATACTTGAATTTACACTGCCGGAGTGATTGACAATTTGGAAAATTGTTGCAGGTTCACACGGGAGAGAAGACGATAAGCGCACTGGACACGTACAAGTTCTCGATCATCGAGAACGAACTGGACAACGGCGTTTATAATCCGGAGAACAAGTGCTTCTGTCGTCAGGGACGCTGTCTCCAGGCTGGCCTAATCGACGTCACCGATTGTTATTACGGTAGGAAAATACTGGCAGTTTCATTATTTCGAATTTAACAACAATAAATTATTTGCAAATTAAATAGTATATTTGAACATGAAATAGAATATTAAATAGAATATTTAAAAATGAAATAGAACGTTTAAAAGTGAAACAGACTGTGCAAAAGTGAAATAAATTATTTAAACATGAGATAGAATGTTTAAGTGTAGAATAGAATATTTAGAAGTGAAATAGAATATTTAAAAGTAACATAGAATATTTAAACGTGAAACAGGATATTTAATACTGAAACAAAATATTAAAAACTGGCACAGACACTGTTTAAAAATAAAACAGAATATTTAAAACATCTAGAATATTTGAAATATTTAAAAAAAATATTTAAAAATATTTAAGAATGAAATAGGATGTTTAAAAATTAAATAGAATATTTATATTATAAATTATATATTATAAATATTTATATATTATGAATAGAACGTTTGGACTCTTGATAAATAATTCTCTTGTAAATTCTTCAGGTTTCCCCATCGCTCTGTCCTACCCCCACTTCTACAAAACAGACCCAACCGTGTTGGAAGCCGTGGAAGGTTTGAATCCACAGACAGATCTCCACGAGTCCTACGCCTATATACAGCCAAAATCGGGACTTCCGATGAACCTGGCATTCCGGTTCCAAATAAACATGGCCCTGCAGAACATCGGTCACATGGCCCGAGTGGAAAAGTTTGAAAATTTCGTGTTGCCGCTACTGTGGTTCGAGATTGTAAGTATTTATATAATTATTAATATATAAATTACAATATTATAATTATAATTTAGCACGTACAAACAGAAAGAAATAGACAGAGAAGAACAGACAGAGAAGAAATATTTTTAGAGGAAGATAATTCATCTTCAAGGAATTACTTCGAATCGACTATAGAATCTGTTCTCGATGGAATTTCTCGACTGTCCGGGGCTCAAATCGATTCTAAAAGCTACAAGATTAATCGAGACGTTAAAATTTATCGAATACAATTGCTTTGTCTTGTTCTTGTGCTATTAAACAGCGTTAAAATAGCAATAATATAACAATAACGCTGAAAATGGTACAAGCGGCGCCATCCGTGGAGAAACGCCCAAGCTTATCGCCGTATTCTGCCGAACGGTTTCACCGTTTCGCCGAGAGATGGCGCTGCTAGTACCCTTTTCCATCAATGGAAATTCAAATCGTTTTTAAAATCCATTCTCGTCGAAGGTTTTCAACGTTTGGGTGCTCAAATTAAAGCTGGAGAAACGCGCTTTCTAACTAGTCTAATCGCCGAATGAAATCATTATTTAGTAGCCGTAATATAGTCGATGAAAAATTATACTCTGCACGTGGTCTCTTATGCAATCTGTGTTCAAATAATTTTTCAATCTCCGTTCCAATCAAATAAATCCAAATCTTACAGAAAATAAGTAATTGTTATCCGAGTAAAATATTCGACCAAAAAGAATTCCCTCGAACAATAATTTCGTCCTCGCATAATTATTTATTCCTAACAGAAAAAAAAGAAAAAACTAAAACAATCTGCAATTTTTTAAATTAATAAAATTATTTCACATTTTTTCAACAGGGTATGTACGGGTTGCCGATGTCGATGGTAATTCGCTTCTGGTTCTACCTGGTCGCGTTGCCGATCATGGCAACCGTGGCGATGTACACGCTGCTGCTCGGCGGTGGCACGGCCATCTTCGTCTCGATTTACAAGATCGTCTTGCAGCAGGCAAGGGGATCGTTGTTGCCGCAGCTGTCCGACATGAAGAATCAGAATCTGAAATACATCACGAACAGGCGGCTCTCGTGCAAGAGCGAGATGGACATACAGTACAGCTCCCTGATGGAAGCCAAGGACTCGAACGGAACCATCGCGTCGGAATTGTCGAACCTGAAAGAAGAGATGGTGTGATCTGTGACAGACGATTCTCGGCCCGGGAAGAGGCTATTTCCTGCGTGGACCAGTTCCTACGCTATATCTGACAGAACGCTTCGAATCGCTTCGAATTTCAACGGGCCGGAGTCCGGGTTCATACGTTAGGCCGGAGCTCGGAATTAACAGGCACGCAACGCGAGCATCGCGCGGGCCACGCCTCTTGGCTCTCGTTGCGAGGGCCACGCCTCTCGAGCATTCGTGGGCCACGCCTCTTGGCTCTCGTCGCGTCGGCCACGCCTCCCGGTTCTCGTTGCGCGGGCCAGACCTCCTGGTTCTCGTCGCGCGTCTCCCCCTCCACGCAGTCATCGCGGAGCGCCGCAGACGCGCGTGCATGGTCAGGAGGCGTGGCGCTCGCGGCCCTAGCGTAGCGCGCCGCTTAATTCCGATCCCCGAGTTAGGAGATGCTCCGATCGTCCGTATAGGTCGGTAGTCATCGTTCGGCGGATCTCTGCGTCGAGCAGCGCTCCAAGTGTCCGGTACACAGTTTCTTAAAATCGCGGAAGGGTTCGATTCGAGTGTCGTACGCGATTTCGCGGCGCTGTTACCCCCTGCAGCGTCGTTCGTGTTTTTATATTTTTCTATCGCGCGGCGCGCACGTCGACGCAAACGGTGCAAATCCGCGACGTGTTTCTTGATTCTGCAGAGCGTGAATTATTATGCATTAGATACCGACGTCTATTTTTCCGTGTATTCAATCAGTCTATCCGGTGTCCGTTTTCAACGAAAACTGGGTGTTTGTTCGGCTTCCTCGAGAATTCGTCACGGCGTTCGGAAGGAATTGCATGTACACGGGAAACGAAATGATATTAAGACTGATACTATTATAGACTGGCCGATTAGTGATTAAGTGGTTTTGGATGTCGTTGAACGATCGCGTTGGTTAAAAATGCGGACGGGAGATTACGGTTTGCGTCGTCGTTTATGGTTCGAATGCGAACGATTGCCCGTCTGGGATTGCACCGTTTGTTATTCCAGCGCATCAGTTAGCCGTTAGTTCTCCATTTTGTGTAGATTATTCGCTTGTGTGGGTACAGTTAGAGCAACGAAGCTAGACGAGGGACCACTTTAGCTGTGTGACCGCAACCGTGTGTCCTTGAACGACAAGTGTTCAAAAGTATTATTTATAGAGGAACATTTTGTAACTTTTCATGGAGGAGCATTGTCTTGTTGCACGTGCACGGAAATCGTCATACATTGTTACTAACAGGCGCGAGATTAATCGATATTGATTGTTAACATTGGAAGCGAACCTATAGTTTAACAGCAGCTTGAGAGAAAATTAATAACAACGGTACGTAACGGTCGTTCGATTGTAATTCAGCTATATCTGCGAACGAAAATAACAGGATCTTAGCGTAATTAAAGCTTTCTTTTTTTTTAAGTAGTGCTATTAAATGCATGCGTATGTAGATACTTTTGAAATAACGATCTTGCCTGCAATTTGTAGTTATCGTGGATCAATTAAGGAAACAGTATTTTTTTAAGCGCGAAACGATGCTTACAACACGGGCCGTATTGTCCAAGTGTTTTTAGTAACATTGGTTAACGGTGTTTTATCTTGTGTTCTTTTTTTTGGAACGGTCCTCTGGTGGTACCATTGATAACATCTTGTAATAAAATATCAATCGTTACTCGGTGCTCTCGCCGTTCACGAACATTGTAATGCTTGCCAGTGATAATATCAATGATACGAATAATTTATGAATAATTGCTCAAACGATATTTTTAATAAAAATTTATATATGTTGATACCGCTGTTGCTGTTGTGAACATTCACACCCTCCTGCCCCTCCACTTCTCAAGATATATCGAAGGGCTGGGGAAGAATAGTAAATATGAAGTGGTAGATAGTATGTACTATAAATATATTTATTTTCTCATTTACGTAGTTGCACATGAGAATAGTACGTATTGTGAAATAAGTATCTCATTGAAATATAGGAAAATAGCATTTCATCGAATAGTAATATTTCATGGAACGATATTTAGAATAATGGTGTTGCAACTGATAGTATTCCAAATAAGAGGTATTTGTTTCTTCAGCTTTTTATGGTATCATATACTACTGCAACACAATGCAAGAAATGCATATAAACGTAGAACACCTGCGTTGAGAAATATTTGCAAGAAATATCTATTCGAATAGAAGATAGCGAGTTTTTATTTTCATTTGATTATTTTCTATACTTGAATCGAAATGTCAGTGATAATTTTCTCCTGATTTTGCACACTCTCCAAATAGTATTTCATTCGAGTATTAAATAAAATTGTATTTTCAAATAGTATTCCATTCAAATATTAAATAGAATTGTATCTTCAAATAGTATTCAATTCAAGCATTAAATGAAACAGTATCTCTAAATAGTATTTTATTCAAGTATTAAATAGAATTGTATCTCCACAAATAGTATTCAATTCAAGCATTAAATAAAATTGTATCTCCAAATAGTATTTCATTCAAGTATTAAATAGAATTGTATCTCCAAATAGTATTTCCTTCAAGCATTGAATAAAATTGTATTTCCAAACAGTATTTACTTCAGTAAATATTTTAGAGTGTTAACTATTTCCTATCAAATCATCTGAGATTTTCCCAAATCCCGCGGTAAACTATAGCACAAAATCGACGCATTCTTGAAGATTCGTATGTTGCTGCACGTTTTATTCCATCAAGATTGTATAATTAATGGACATCGGTCGCGTATATACAGACAAATATTTACGCACTCTATGGTATAAATGCAATACATAAATAATGAATTTGTTGCCCAGTATCCGCTGTGACTCCAGTATGTACAATCCTATGTCGACGCTCAATCCTGAGACATAGACTTTTTAACAAAACGATGTATCCCCGCTTCATCTAAAAACAATTCTCGTTGCAACATTTCCTTTCCACTCACCAAAATCTCGTCTCTTACCCAATATTTTCTGCGTCAGCAACGTGTAATGCATTTCTCGGCAAGTTTTCGAAAACGTCGTCCTGTCCGGGATACGCTCGGATGGATAATATTTCATCAAGTACGACTTCAGGATCTCCGCAGTTTTGAATTGCATCGCCTTATCAGCGGGCACCATAACTTTATCCTTTTTGGACGCGTGTCTCGCACGGCTCGACTTCTGACGTTTCTCATCGCGGGTCGACCTTCTCCTATCCGAACTCTCGTCCGTTAAATCGCTCACCTTCTCCGGCTTGTCTCTCGTCCCCAATAAATCACCGCCGTTTTTGACCGCTTCGCCTTTTCCCTCGTTCGCAGCGATATTCGTCTCATCGTCGCCCTTCGCTCTTTTGCTCGATCGACCGTCCACGACGTTCTCGAACGAGTCCGCATTTTTCCGCCTTTTATGAAAGCTTGATCTCGTCGCGTCGTCGCTGGTCTTTTCGTTTGTCGCGGTCGACTCGTTGCAATCTGCGTCCGCTGTCGGCTCGCTATTCGACGACGATCTGGCGAATTTTAAGATCTGCTCGTAGACGCTGTCAGCCGCTCGCGGCGCTTTTCTGTTCCTCGATTCTTTCCTCGCGTCCTGCGAACACCTCCGTGACTTTTTCTCCTGAACTCTGTTCTCCTGGACCTTGCTCTCCTCGTGGAGCTTCCTAGCGCACGTGAAACCGTTGAATGTTCGAGCGTCCGCGTTCTTGCTTCCCTCAACGGTTTCAACGTCCGTGCTCTCGCTGCGACAAACAGGATTTTTACTCGCTTTCGTCCCGTTACTTTTAACGTCCTCGGCGCCGTTTTCGTTATCGTCGTCGTCTTTCAGGAAATTCGCGGTAAATAAATATTTTTTGCTATTACTGGACGACACTTTCGCGACGACGCTCGCGTCCTTTTTCATCTCTAAGGCGGTCTTAAACGTAGGGTACAAAATATTCTTGCTTGCGGCGCTCGGCTCTTCCGATGGAACACGACCACATTTATCGAAACGTTTGTCTGCGGCGTTCTCCGCTCCGTCATCTAAGCTGCCGCTACATTCTACTCGCTCGTCGGAACGCTCCGAGCTCGCGGATCGCTCGTGACACGATTTGTAGCCGAGCAGATGCTCGTGCAGGGTATTTGCGGCGGTGCACTTTCGCACGGACGATATCTTCAGCCGCGCAACGCAATGAAACACGTTAAGTAAATTATAATTATGTGGAGATTCGTACGTTCTTTTTTTTTTTATGGAAATACGTGGACATATTATTGAATTACATACCAGTTTCGACATGTTGAACTTGTATTTGTTCGCGACTATGGTGTTGCACAGCCCTTTGTACTCGAGATCATACGCTATATCGTGGAAGTCTTTCTCTCGCAGCCGTCTGTTCATCGCAGCGGACATTTTCTCGTAATTGTCCGCCAACGCTGATTTTAGCTGAACGTAATAATACTCCCGGAGTTGAACGGTCAGTCCTTTGATTTTTACGTCGGTGCTCTCGGCCGCGCACACGTGAACGCCTTCGAGATCTTGCGTTTTTACCTTGGGATCGTGTAAAAATAGTAATAAAATGATAGCAATGAAATACTATAAAAATAGTAATAAAATGGTATAGAAATAGAAATGAAATAATATCAATGAAATAGTATAAAAATAGTAATAAAATAAGAGCAATAAAATAGTATGAAAATAATAATAAAATAGCATAAAAATAGTACAAAAATACTAATAAAATAATAGCAATAAAGTAGCATAAAAATACTAGCAATAAAATAGCATAAAAATAGTAACAAAATAATAGCAATAAAGTAGCATAAAAATAGTTATAAAATAATAGTAATAAAATAGTATAAAATAGCAACAAAATAAGAGCAATAAAGTAGCATAAAAATAGCAATAAAATAGTATAAAAATAATGCATAATAATAGTAATAAAATAGCATAAAAACAGTAATAAAATTAACAAACGAATACATCATCCCTCTCACCTCTTTTTCTTTCTTAATTCTTCGAATAGCGAACTGTTTCTCAAACAGTTCCTTCGTCTCGCGTCTGCTCTCGGCTAACAATTGGTCTCGCGAAATTTCTCTTCCTTTGCCTTCCTCTTCCCTATAAATATTCAAACGATCATATACATACAATCACGTATACAAATACAAATAATCACAACCAACAAGCACGCGCAGTTATTATAGTCGCGCAGTCGCACGCTACTTACACATCGTACTTCGGTAAAGCAATACCGTCCAAACGGCTGGCGCAGCTGCTCTTTCGTCTGGTCTGTGCCATCTCGAATTGCGAAACCTTCGCTTGAACGGCGTCCTTGTTTTCGCAAACGTCGCATCTGTTTTTGCACGGCGGCGGACTGTCGCCGAAATATTTCGAGAAGACCGCGTGTCTACATCTGTTTTACACGGTTTCATCGATGAAGCGGAACGTCAATTATGTATTTACGATCGAAATAAATCATGATTTATAAGTTTTATGAGTCGCGATTCTTACTTCACTTCGAGACAATAGGAAACGGTTTTCTCGAAATTTTTCCATCTCAGTTTCACCAGGTCGGTGTTCTTCTGCGTGATTTCCTCTTTGATAAGAAACGCGATCGGCCCGTATTCTTCGTTACTGAAATAAACTCTGCAGAACGCCGGTTTCCCATCTCTGCCCGCTCTGCCAGATTCTTGATAGTACGCTGCTATATTCTGGGGGACTGTCCAATGCACGACGAACCTACGACAGAAATTACGAAACAGCTTTTATATTATTTTTATTTTATGTCATTGTTCTTGTTATTATTCTTGTTTTATGTTATTATTTATTTTATATTATTATTTATTTACCTGACAGACCCTTTGTCTACGCCCATGCCGAAACTGCAGGTTGCTGCGATTACAGGCACTTCGCCGGATGTCCATTTATTTTGAGCCTCGTTACGCTCCGAATTCTTTAAACCTACAACCGTTTTAGAATCACTTGTTTTGCTGGCAAGATATTAATTACAAAATTTCGATTATACTACCAAATAGTACACATAAGTATATATAAGTATATATGTATATAAGTATATAAATATACATACCAGCATGATATGCTAGAGTGGATATGCCAGAATTAGACAGTTTATGTGCAATCACTTCGGTTGCTTCTTTCTTTCTACAATATATAATGCCACAATTTCTCTTTACCTAAAATCATTCTTTCTGTAGATTCATAGAAAACACGTGTACGTATACTGTTCGCCTGTCTAGCTTACTTTCGAAGTGGATGGATCCTGCGTACCGAGAGCCTTCAAAATAAAACTTTTCAGGTGGTCGAACGGTTTGTCCAAGCTTTCCAAAAACCACACATCGTAGTAGAGATTAGGTCGAAACACAGGCACTGAGAATATCTGGGGATTCTTCATGTTCAAGCTTTGAAGTATATCATCTTTCACCTGTAATTAACACGTATTACAGTGAACAATAGTTAAGGTTAGCTCGGGGAATTGTACCTCTTTTGCAGCAGTAGCTGTTAACGCGATAATAGGAATATTGGGGCACAATTTTTTAAATGTGCCCAACTGCCTGTAACTGGGTCTAAAATCGTGACCCCATTGACTTAAACAATGAGCTTCATCAATGACAAAATAGGCCAGTGATTTAGATTTTCTCAGTTTCACCACCATATCCTATAAACAATCATCAATAATTATTTGAACATATTCTTTGACTGTATGGCTTTGTTTTTAATACAGAAAGATAGAAGAAACCGACTTGAAAGTGTTGCTGTGCTCCCATTTCGGGTGTAACATATAACAATTTAGTTTTCGGTGAATTAGATGATATATCTTTAATAATTACATTCCTTTCTTTGGTCGATGTAGTTGAATTTAATGAGCTTGCATTGATCTTTTTACTAACTAGAAAATCTATCTGATTCTGTAACAGAAAATTCATATTACATAACGCATTCTGTGCTATCAACCTCTTATTTCATTCATTGTATACCTTCATAAGAGCCAACAGCGGCGAGAAAACAATTGTTACTTTATTCTCTTTCATTACTGCTGGTAATTGGAAACACAGTGATTTACCACCACCGGTTGGCATACACACAAAGACATCGTCTTTACCTGAAAACATATGATCGTTTAACCACAGAGAACTGCTTAACATTTAAATGTGTAACATAAACAGAACAGAGAATGTATTTTATAATAAACAAAGATTCAACCTTTGTAAACAGCAGTGGTTGCTCGTTTTTGAATGTCGCTTTTGAAATCATCATAGCCAAATACAGATTTCAGAACAGACTGTAACATTTTGTCACGTAATCGTGTATGTTAATTCCCTATCAAAATTCAACATAAACAATTACAATTGCATTCTAAATTAATCTACGAAAACGTTGTTCACATCAACCCAGCTTTGTGCAGCATCTACAACTAGCTTAGCGGAATCATGAAAACGTGCTATGTATTGAACTTATGGTCTAAGGAACCGGTGGTGGGCTAGAACGTGTGTTGAGGGACTGGTAGAAAATATCATAAATGTAATTGGATGATGCCAATGGATTCCAAATGCAATAGCCAATGGCAGCACTCTCAGGTCTCAGTCTCAGCCTGTAGCAGCTGCGAGAGGCGTGGTCAATATTTTTGCTATAGTATACTGTTGGTGCTCTGGTGCTGCTCTCTGTCGTCAAATTCCGATTACAATTTCGTTGCATGCTACTCATGCTTCTGCATGAAATTGCCGCTATTTCATCGCATGGCCAGGACGCTTGTTTAGGGACCCTATTGTATCCAGTGTATCCTTTTGTGCTTTGTAGTTTTATTATCTTTACAGCATACATTTATACTGATTTTCATTATGTAAGTATTATTCAATATATAAAAAGAATAAGTAATATATACAAAAATATAAGTATTTCTATAAGAACTTAAATAATTGGTGAGCTGGTCAAAAACTAGAATTAGAAATGCCGACGTGTATGGTAAAGGGGTGCAGAAATAAATCTTCTGACAAGACTCGTAGACAAAGATTACTAGAGGAAGCATTCAATATTACTTTCCATTCGTAAGTATAGGTATTTTAAACCCAAATGACCAGTAATCAAATTCATTTTATAATTGAATCATTAGGCTTCCAAAAGATCCTGAAAGACGCCAATTGTGGCTGCATAATTTGATGCTCGATAATGTAATCATAGTTAAAAAAGTCGTTGTTTGTTCTGTTCATTTCAAGGACAGTGATTTTGATAGAACCTCTCTGTCATGCGTAAGACTCAAACCACATGCTGTACCTTATGTACGTATGGGTCCATTCTAAACGCAATTTGTTACATTAATACATTTTTGCCTTATATAATATTTTGAAATTGGTTATTTTGTGTTTGCAGATAGAGGTTCCAGAAGAAGAAGATGAAGAAGAAGAAGAAGAACTGTAAGAACTGAATGAGTAAGTTTCTCTTGTACTCCATGCATATTTTCATATCAATCAATAAGTTCTACGTTACTAATATGTATTCTTTTGTTGTAATTGCAGGAATGTTTATAAACAAATGACAAATCAGTTCAAGTGGAAGCATCTCCACATATAAACAAAAAGTGAAAAAAAGAATGTTTCACTACAAGATTCCACAAAGATTTGTCATTGACTAGACAACGCCATGCTTCTGGTGTCAAATACCGAACAGTCTCCTTTCAGCGGTGACTTGGCGTCAAATTTGCATAAATTTCCTTGCAAAGTACACTACCAAGCATTTTACATGTACTTGGTTGAAGCAGACTTGGCCGACTGGGTACATACAAAAACATGTATTTGTAGCTAATGATGCAGACGTCACAATTCAACTGTTAATATAGTATTATTGTCCCATTCCCCCCCTCACCCGCCTACAAAGCATTACATTTCCCTTCAACCATTTGCAAGATGTGATTTTACTGCAGCGAATTATTTAAAAATACGTTTGATCAAGTCCACACACATAGTGTGGTATTTATATACGAGTTATAAGAGTGGTATTTTTACGTATAAGTTTTTATTTAATAGTTTTATTTATATATAGAAAAGTTTTTATTTATATATAGAAAATATCAGCGTTAGTGAAAGCTGGAAAGTGTGATGTTGAATATGAGAAGACGTCTGGAGATTATTTAGTATTAACCCTGCTGGAATTTACAATCCAAAATTAAAAGTAAATACAGATCTTCGTGCGACAATAAAACAATGTTTTCGAAGAAGAATTCCGGATGGAAACATTTTCTATAAAAAGTTTAGATGAATAAGTTAATGTATCTAAATTATCAAAAGGTCGACCAAAAAAATCAAGAGTTCGAATAAATCAATAAGGCGAGAAAGAAGTGAAATAAATCAGAATTTATCCCTTTTAGAAATAGATACATGAGAAACCTTTATTCATAATTATAAAAAAAAATTCACGATTATAAGGAAGCAAAAATTTTTGAAGGATATTCAAGAGCAGTTGCCAAACGAGATTTTGAATATTAAATGTCAGCTGTGTAACCCTAACGTATAAGTTAATGTAATTCGGTGTTACTTAATGTGAATAATAACGTACTATTACTATTTATGACTGCTGAAATACCGAATGCAGTAAAATCTCCCCCTAACTGATACTCAGATTGTGCATAAAATGGACAATTTTGAAAATTGTCTATTTTCATCAATTAAGCAGTATTTATTGTATTCCTATTGCATGGCAATTGTAGAATATTAAAGAGACTGTATTGTCAATAAAAAGTTTTTTCTGCTGTCCTAAAATTTATTTGAAAATGTGCAACTTATAATTATCGAGGGAAAGATTCATAAAAATCACTGATATTTCTGTGTGCTGCACCAGGTTCGCATGAAATATAATCAGATGCATACAAAAAGAAAATAGGATAATTACACGAAATTCAAATACGTACATATTCGTGTCTACGTTGAAATTTAATTCAAACGTGCAGTTTCACAATTCGACAACAGTCGGCAGCACCAGCGGAATATGGCCGAGATGTGAATTCCCGCCCTCGTAATTGTCTCAGCCTCATTAAACTCTTACTGGATATTGGTCTAAAATAACATTGACCAAGATCTTGACCTCCCTCACCCGAATGCACAGTCCTTTAGGTCCATGAATGCAGCAGCAAATATTATGCAAATTCTGGACAACTTTGGGCCAGCTTGCCAAGGAGTCGCAGGGGGGGGGGGGATTGTTTTATGCTGATTAGTCGATTCAATGCTGTTAAACTTAAAGAATAATAAACATTTTCTTGATATTATTTATGATCTTAATCGGTTCTTCCGCCGAACTTGCGATTCGTGAGAGCAAATCTTCGGTTCGTTGGGGCCAAGTTTGGTAATGTGTATGTGGGACGACGTGGTCGTGTGTGAGGACCTTTAACAATGATAGATCGAGCCTCATGATTTCGTTCGTAGTTAATGTCAGTAGTCAACTATGGAGCGGTTATGTGTATTACTGTCCATCGATGACAGTTCTATGACATCTATTAAAACTGATATACTAATAAATACTAAACCATGAGTGACACAACAAAAATTGAATGCAATTCTTATATAAGCATCAAATACAGGTAAATTGGCCGATCACGTTAGTTTCACTTGACATTTGCTGATATAATATTTTCTTCTTTTTTTTTTTAAGTGCATTTTGATAAGAATGCTCTCTGTGTATGTGTGTGTGTGCACGCGTGTGTGTACTTTGCATTTGCTGATAAGCTGATAAGACGATTTAAATGTCATTGAATGCCAGGGGAATACATAATGTACCGTGGTTGTTCTATCGCAGTGCTGGGAAAAATTAACGTGACCGTGTCCATCGATAATAATTGTTTGCAATGTTCATCGTTGTTCAACAGATAACATGTTTCATTGAATCTCGATCGTATCGGTGACGAAAGATAAAAATCAACGGATCCAGTACAATATTTAACGCAACTGTTTGGTAAATTGTAAGGATCATCGTTAATTACAGTCCACCGTTTAGGTTATGTTTACAAACTTTTGCTTCTCTGTTTCGGAGTCTTCCACGAACGTAGATAATAAATCTCGCTCCGATTTCCGTGGCTTCGACGATAGCGAATTGTTCTCGAAATATAGGCCAACGGTTATTTTTACGCTGTTTTAATGGATATAATTTTCTTTGCGTTTTTTTTCAGTGTTTAACAACCAAAATGAGAAACGGCTCTTGATTTCGTAAATGCAAGAAAACACATCGATCATGGAGGAGAACGAGCTGTATAACGCTACCGTTCCATCTCTTTCCGGAATTGAACCAGCATTCTGGAATTATTCCGACCATGTCATCCTCGATGACCTTAAGATGGACAGTAGTTTTATATATTTACTTTGCTCGCTGGTATCCGCCACATCCTGGATCATTTATATAGCTTATTACAATAGCAGAGTGATCGGTTACATATTGACAAAATTATTGAATCGATTTGTTATTAGAGATGGATACGTTAAAGTAGGTAAGAATTGAAATATACAGAAAATACTGTTTCATGTACAGTCAACACCCAACCATACATATATTACGAGAGATTCGTTTCGCGTAGCATCGAAACCGTGTTAAAAGAAACGAAGTAATGCGTTATAAGGACGAGGAGAGAAGAAGTGGTCAGTCGGTCGCGATAGCTTAGGTGGTTAAAGCAGCCGTCTAGCAAGCGGGAGGGGACTCGAGTTTCAAATCCCAGCCGCCGACCGATCAATCAAGGACTCATTTTGTTCCACAAATTTCGAACGTGGGTCCTTGGTCAGTCTCTTCTGACCACGTTTTTTAGACACTTTAAAATTGAGATTTGGTTATTTGGAATTCTCGAAATCAGTTGAAAGACATCCGATAGCCAAGGGCCGATATTAAAGTGTCTTCTTATCAGAAATCCGCCGAGCTGAGGGCGTGAAGGAGGACCGGCGTTTTTTCTCTGACACACGTGTGTGTGTTTATGATACGATAATTGACTGGAGAGAGAGAGAGAGAGAGAGTCACCCAGGGCCCCCCGGGAAAAATAGATTAAAATTGGTTGATCCCAAGAAAATCAGTCGCTCGCCAAGCGAAAAAGGAATTCGGACTCCGGGAGTTTCTCTCGTCGAGTTTCTTTCGTCCGACCGGATCGACTGATTCTCTCCTACGAATCTCTCGTATCCGTAAAGTAAAAATAATCGCAACATTGTTTTCTCTTCTTGTTATCATACAGGGTCTTTCACTCTAAGCGTGTTAAGCGGAAAAATAATGTTTAGAGATATAGTTTATATTACAACAGATTATAGTATCAGAGTTCAAGACGGATGGCTTATATTCAGATGGTGGAGGAGTTATGTTCCCAAAGACGTATCCGAAGGTACACACTGCACACGGCAAAATACAAAATTGCATAGAAAAAAAATGTTTAATTTATATTTTAAACAGAAAGAGAAATGTGTTTATACTTACCTTGCCGATCTTTTTCCAGATCTTTCACATTCCGATACCCGACTGTCAGTGATGTTGAACGGCTTCGAATTGCACGTGTACAATCGCTGTCAGCTGTACGCACAATTGGAGAAATCATTCGGTCTGACGCCCCAAATGTTTCCGGACGAGGAGGATCACACCGTGAATATCGACGATCGCGATGCCGAGTCAATACGGAACTCGGCCAATCAGAATTTCCAGCAGATTAACGCGATGGATGTTTCGCGTCGCGTCGATAACATTAGGAAGAAAGAAGCTCACGTTATAGCACGGACATGGAGAGATTTAATACCTGTTATTAAATTAGACGTGTGCACGGTTAGTCCGGCTCCGTCTGGTTCACGCTTCGATAACATACGGATTCTCTTTATTTTCTTTTATTTCTCTTTTCTTTTCCTATTTCAATACGATGTCGTTTCAGGGGAGACTGGTGTTCGGCAATCGACTGGTCCCGACGACCTTGTCGATAACCGTGGAGGAGGCGCATTTCGTGTACTCCACGAAGCCGGCCGCGTCCCGCCACGACCATTTCATGCACTTCACGAAGTGCAAGGCGGAGAATTTCAAGGTGATACTGGCGCCGAGTCCGAAGTATACCGGCATGGTGGACGATCCGCCCAGGTACATGGGCGAGGGCTTCGTCGTGCTCAGCTCGAACAACATGGAGGTATACTACTACATGGACGAGCCGGGATTTGTGCCCGAGCACCCGGAAATGATACAGCTGGTAAACGGCGACATGGTGGAAGCGATGCCGCCTATTTGGGGCATCGACATCAAGTGCGGCAAGGGGACGGATTTCAGCTACGGGCCGTGGGCAGACCGGCAGAGGGAGCACCTCTTTAAATTCTTCTTCCCGAACGATTATCAGCCTTTGAAGGTGACGAAGCCGCCAGTGACCGGCGAGAAGCGGCAGGTCCAGTCGTTCGACATCAGATTATCGACGCTGAACGAAGCCACGATCGACATACTCTTCAGCAAGAACACGGAAACGAACGCCGTCCACGTGAACGTCGGGCCTGGCTCCTACCTAGAGATCACGATGCCCTGGATAGTATTGCAGGACGGTTACACGACGAAGATCACCGGTCAGCTGTTGCATCTAGAAGCAACCACGAGCCTGCAGTACCGCAGCCTGGTTCAGAGCGAGACGTTGGAGTTCGGCGTGAAGTGTCACTACCCGATCCGATGGAACGACCATCAGGAATGGACGCTGAACCTGACAGGCTGTAAGGCCACCGCGAACCTGGTCTACTCGCACAAAGAATTCTTCCAGGACATGATCAACGACTGGGCGAGCAAGGCCAGGCCCGACATCCTGCACTTCGTCCCATACACCTGGAAGTTCAATCTGCTGTTGAAGGAGTTCGAGCTGATCACGCTGTGCAACGAGTACAACTGGATCGACTGCTCCTCGCAGAACCAGGAGAACGCGCACATCGCGTTTTGCGGCGAATTCTTCGAGCTGTCGTTTGACCTGCCGTTCGTTGACTACCTGCCGGTTACGATACCGCTCCGTTTCTGGATCCAGGGCGAGAGCGTCGACCTCTCATTCTACCTACCGGAGGTCAACACTAATCACACGATCCTGCTGGCGCTGCACAAGAACGCGAAGATCATGACGCGGGACGGCTCGCACATGTACCTGTCGGAGCTTAGCAAGAACAAGAAGTGGAGGAACGTGTGCCAGAAGGGCGCCGGCTGGGTCGACTGCTGGTCGGTGCCGATCGTCGCGTTAAGCATCAACTACACGTACCACCTGTGCCCGCCCCTCGGCCCCGCCCCCCAGGCGAACATCACCACGCCGGAGAAGGAGGAGATTCTCCTGTCGCCGATGAGGATACCGCGGTGCAGAAAGTCGCCCGGGCTTCAATGGTCGACGAACGGTAGCCAGAAGTTCGACCCGCAGTCCATAGCGCCCGACAAGGTCACATTGGACCTGGAGATCGGTCCTTCCATACTGTTTCTGTACGGTTCGTTGCTGAAGAACTTTATACACCTGAAGGAGAACCTGTTCGGAGATTATCAGACGTTCACCGACATGCAGCAGAGCAGGACGAACCCGACTGTCGCGGAGAGGGGTAAGGACAGGGACGTGCAGAACAGCAGCGTGGAGTCTGTGGACGACGAGGACGCGAAGTCGAAGGCGTTCGACCCCAGGGAATATAGGCCGCTGGAGGTGATCGTTGGGATCACGATGCACGACATCCAGGCGCATCTGATCAAGAACTGTGGCGAGAACGATCCGCCGTGTCCAGTTATACTACTCGAGCGGTTCGGCTTCGAGATGAAGAAACGTTATCGGGAGACCGAGCTGCAGCTGCTTCTGTCACCCGCCATCGCGCTGCTCGCCGACAACGTGGTCCGCACGAGCAAGGACCGTCACATGAATCAGGGCCACTTGATGCTGAGCGCGCTCCAGGTCAGGGGTCACGCGATGTTCAGCAATGAGGGCCGAACCCTCGACCAGGAGACACTGGAGTACGCGTGGCTGATCGAGGTGCAGCTGGGCAAGTTGGCCGGGAAGATGAGCTCGCCCCAGCTGCACCATCTGATCACGTCTCTCGAGACGTTTCTGCTGATGGTGAAGAACAACGAGAACACTTTGAGGCCGCCCGATTTACCGCATCATTGTCATCACGGTATACCCCCGTTGCAGTGTCCTGACAGCGACGTTGATAAGCATTACAGGTAATGTTTATGTAATTGTATATGAATTTTATATAATATATTTTATATAATTTTATAATCGGATCTTGGTGCGCTAAACAGCTCTACGTATACGTTTGTCTACTGTGCGCACGGTAGCCAGAAGAATAAACTAGATTCCAAGCCGAAGGAGTGGAGGTAGATCGCGTGACGCGGCGGTGCTCGTTGATTCTCGCTGCGCAGTGGAGTGGGGGCGCAATGGGCGTACCCGCACAGCGGCCGCGTCACGTGACTCACTCCGTGAGTGGTAGTCGTACCCCCCCCCCCTCTTTCCGAATTGTCCATTTTCATTAACAAGCCGAGCGTCATTTTTATCACGAACGCATAAAATCTGATATCAATGATGCCCCTGAGGCGATGCTGTAACTCGTTCGGCTTTACTCCAGGTGTCCCAGTTCCGAGGATATAAAGTACAGGATGACGAGGATAGCGATAGACTCTGTCGACCTGCATTTCCAAGAGGTGGGGACCGCTGTGCATCTCTGGATATCACCGATCCGCGTTTCCACCTGCAATCTTCACGGCCACCAAGTCAAGTCCGGCGTGACTAGTGTGCTGCCTAGGATATTACTGCGGCAGTTCGTGTCGGCGGCAGATCATTTCGCTAACACGAGCAACACGAACACAACGGGCAGCGGGAGGTCGCACAATAATGCAAGCAGTCGAATGTCAGGTACATTATTTTCCAAGGTGAAATATTTTATGATCGCATATTGAAAAATAACAAAAATTTGAAAAACCGTTCTCATGTTTTTCCAGGCGACGGCTCCGACGTCTGGTTGGAGGTCGGATCGGTGGCCTTAGGCCCGGTGATTTTGGAGGCCGCGATATCGCTTCCGACCCCGGAGCACAATTTGCATTTAGTACAAAACAAGTATTTGAAGTTGCACGACGAGGCCACGAAGCGTTTGTGGTTCCTGTGGCCGCAGGAGAGCGGCGTGAAGCCGGCCAAGTGCGGTTGCATAGGCGGCTGCGCGTTTTTCGGAAACAATCGAAACGGGCCGAGATTCTTCAAGCCGAATTATCACGATTTCCAAGACGGCATCAACGTTGCAGCGTATAGGTAGGGACAGTGATCGAAGTACGGTAAATTCTCAATTTTTCGTGTACAATCTGAGCATCAATTGGGGAGAATTTGTACTTCGAAGGGTCAGACTTTACCTTAGGGGATCGAAATTTGTTGACATTTTACGACGTATTTTCGTAGATATCGGCGAGAAAACATGAAAAATTAGAATAGAATTCATTGACGTCGCTTAATCGCGGAGAAAATTCGAAACTTTATTTTAGGGAACCAAAATTTTTTTATTTTTTATGACGTATTTCCGTAGATATCGACGAGAGAACACCAAAAATTCGAGTTTCAACGCGCGGAATTCGTTGGGGGCGGACGAAACGTGAAACTTAATTTTAGGGGACCAAAATTTTTTGACATTTTTACAATATATTTCGGTAGTTATACGCGTCCAAAGTCGCTGGGCTTTGCTGTAGCAACGCTTCCTAGAAACGAGGAAAAAAAAAACATCACGACCTCGCCCGTTTCAGAATTAACGAGACCGGGAAGGAAAAAGGTTTCGGACAGTCCATTTTGCACGACGGCCAATTGGTGTTCCACACGTCGCCGTACAACTTGCAGGACTTGTCGCTGCAAGACTATCCGGCCGCTGGCGTAAAGTTGACTGCCACACAGGACGGAGTGCACGCGACGAAAAAAGTCGAGCGTCCCAGGTCTGTGGCAGATCATACTAAAGATTCCGGTATCGAGGAGCATAGTAGTACAAAATTAATTACTGCATCAGCAAGTCCGTTCGCGTGCAGCGGGGATCGGAAAGTGCTCGGCAGAAGATTTTCTTATACATCAATGCGGTAATCCACGGAAACAGTCTCTGACACCGGCTTACATACATTAACCGTCACGATTTAAGCGTTGTTGTTTTCTTTGATTATTTGCATGACCACGTGACATCGATGGGAAGAACGCCACGGTATACGTAGGCGGAAAGACAGAACATCGACACCCAATCAGCATACAAAAGTGCATCGAGCTTCTGTCGCACGTCGATGTCATTTTCATTCCTTTTTATTTCTTTGGTTTAACATATTTACAAATTTTATGGTTTTCTTTCGTGAACATTTTCTGCTTCTCGCATCCATTCAGTCAAGTAATAAATAACTTCCAATGCATCCAAGGCAAATATTATTGTTCGTTGCACAAGGAAACATCGGGACTTTGCTTTCACTCATACAAAATGTCCAATTAAGGAAACGGAAGTTACTTAGGACTCGACCTCTAACACAAACACCACACCCATGGTTTTACGAACGTTCATTTCTAATACGCTAAATCGCAGTGGCAAGACAGAACAATGTTTGCTAGCACAACGTCTGCGTTCAATTGTACACCTCTGTTCACCGTTCCCGTTCCTGTTGCAGCGGGAGCAGCGCGCGGGACGTGCCGTATTCCCGTCTAGTCGATGCGAGCCCCGTGGCGCACCTGCCCCAGAAGCTGGACTCGGACTCGAAGTTGCACACGGAGCGCAGCAAGTCGATCCTGAGCGTCCCGGAGATCGAGGCAGCGCCGAAGAGCAGCGTGTCGGACTCGAAGCTGGCGGTGGACTACTTCAATGCGTCGGACGCTGAGCCGTACGAGTCGACCAGCCCGCAGTCGTTGCCGACGGTATCGACGGAGGCGAACTACGTTGAGTCGATGCAGACGTCCGTGAAGACCGTCGACAGCATCAACGTCTCCGACTCCCGTCACTCGTTGTACGTCGCCTCGGAGTCCGAGGAAAGGGTGCGGCAGGAGGTGCAGCGGACGATATCGATGTCCTCAGAGAACCACTCGGAGGCGTTCTATTCGGCGGACGAGGACACCAGCCACGGTTTAAGCGGTAGCCGGACGTCCAGCCTGCGGCAGTCCATCATCGGGTCGGGCACGGTGCTGGCGCGGAACGACAGCACCAAGAAGAAATATTCGTCCGATCTGTCAATCGTGGAGAGCGCGTCGAACGCCACGGTGCCCATGTCCGAGAAAGCGCATACGCTCGAGAGGGCGAAGCCGCAGACGATGAGCGTGAAACGCAGCCCCCGGGTGAACCGGAACACCAGCTTCCAGAACGACGCCGACGTGGCCGGCAACGGCGCGCTTAAGGACTCCTCCGACAGTCATTCCGTCTCGTCCACTAGCTTCATCTCAGCCGTGTCCTCGCAGGAAGACGTCACGCTGGTCAATTTACACATGCAGGTGAACAAGCCGATCGTCGACTCGCCGTTGCTAATGTCGAGTTACGTTAGTCATTTGACTCAGGTAATGGCGCGACAGGTGAAGCTATCGGAACCGTGCGACCGCCATTGATTCCACCGGCCTTGGAACATGTTGCGAAGGCCGATCTTCCGAACAGCTAGCTTATTTTCTATTCGGCGCCGCTTGCCACTGAGACCCCCCATCCGAAATAAAAGACTCACCCGTTGTATGGTGCTCCTTGCTGGTGCTTATGCACACTGCGCCGCATTAAGATTGTGTGTGCTCACCGACGAGTCGAGTGCGAGCCCAGCGGATTGATAGTCTTTTATTATTTTCTTCCGATCGTGCAGACCCACGCCAGCGTAACAGAATTCGATGCTGTGAATCCGCTCGGCTCGTCGGTGAGTGTAAATGGACCTTTGTGCACGCGGAGACGTAATTCGATGCGGTAGCTTTTCCGTAATATCTTGAAGATAAGGGCAGAGCGACGTTAAAAGGGAAAAAGTTGTTCAGAATAATCGGCCTTTGTGACGTTGAAATCGTCGTTGAAATCAATGGCGGTGTATGCTTGCGACATCTTCGCTGCACGATGTCTGGTTACGCGCGGTTCAGCCGCTTCTTGACGAATTTTCAGCGACTAAGAGAAAAGCTTGTTGCAGGTCCGTTGCGCGAATTGGAGCCAGTCGTCGATACCGAGCGGAAGCAGCGCGTTCACCACGCCGCTTTTCCAGCGCACCGAGGACGGCAGATTGGTTTACGTCGGCGCGAAACACGTGCCGAAGTACGAGACGATCGCCGAAGGGTTCACGTCGTTGAAGATGATCACCAGATCGGACGGCTCGCCCACGGCTGGTTCGTCCAACAAGACGCCCACTCATCCGTACCTTTGGGACAGCGCGACCATTAGTCAAATGGAGGGTAAGACGATTATTTTAGATTTTATGCGTTTGTAACGAAAATTACATAGTATAGAGGAAATGCAAGAAAATTTAACGCTGAGCCTACTATGTATTAATATTGACATATGCCTGTTGCTCTGTAAGAACGATAAGACTGAATTGATTAGACTTTTCACAATTTTTATGTGGGACAGTCTTTACAAATACAAAGTGTGAGACTGGTGGTTTTGACCGGCTTGGTAGGTTTAGTGTTAAGAGCACTGTAGCAGCATTGTCAATTTGAAATTACTCAAGGACGAAAGAACTAGTCGACTGCCACTCGTTGGATTTGGTGCAGGGAATTTTTATTCTGTATCCACAGTCTAGTAATGACTATAATTCAAAATATTAAAAAGCTCATTGTTATTCCCAGGCGAAGAGGATCACACGACTCACAATGAGGAGGAGTTATTGGCGGCGCAGCACGAGAGCGGTTCCCGTACGACGGTGATAGTAAAATTTAAGGGAGATGTAGATATTATGTTAAGTCCCATGGTGCTAGAATCCCTGCAGCGTTTCATCGACGCGATCATACCGACGTTGGCCGCCTTGCACCCGCTGTCCATCCTGAATCATCTTCATCATGAGTGCATCGGGAAGGTCGAGGATGCCAATATTCTGAAGCAGGATCAGAGCTTGTCATACTGGAGTCAAGTGCAGACTAGTTCGAAAAGGTCCACCGCCGAGAGAAATATTAAAAACGGACAAGGTGACGATAAACGTTAGTTTGAATATTTCAAAGTCCATTCATATGCGACGCAAGGAACATTATTCACACGGCTTTTCCATGATAGGTAAAATCGCACTGCAAACCAACGTGTACGAAGAAAGTATTATGACGCAAGTGCAAGGCAGCATTATTTTGCCAAAAGTATGTAAAGGATTGCGTAAAATTCTGGTTCACAGTAGGTTTTCTTAATAATAATCGTGGTATCACAATTTTTTGTCCCTTTTGCAGATGAATATAACATTGCTGCAGGCATCTGTTGTCGAAGAAATCATATCATTCTCCGCCCTCGAAAATATACGAGACTTGACGTGCGTGTCGTTGTTCGCGATCTGCTTTGACGACGTAACGGTGAGATTCTACATCGGGAAACAGGCCCGCGAAGTCGTCCAAACGTTTCACAAACCGGCCGTGTTAACGAATCAGAAGAAAGTGAATAAGATTAGCAAGGCATTTTTACCTGGTCATCAAACAGCCGCCGTGGTTACTGACATTGGCAGTGGTGAGACGGTGTACATAGAGACTTCCGAGAAGCAACAGGAAGAAATTGTAGTCACGTTAAATATAGGTAACAGCTATTCTAATTTCCTGGACTATAGTGTATAACATGGAACTCGAACAGCTAACTGAAAAGGATTCGTGTAACAGGCAAGGCTCACTCTCAATTACGTAGGCTACGAAACGAGTCTTCGATATTAAAAGATGCTGTGATAACAGCAATTCCTGCTCACTATTCAAGAGTGTTGTTTACGTGTACCAGAATAACGTCTCCGTTGAAGTGCGTCGATTATTACATGCATCAGGTTGTAGACGAGAAAGAGAAGAGCGTAGGTTTTTTTATTTTTGCAACTACAATGAACGTTTCGTTGCACCAATCAGTTCGCATATAATAGTATGAATAATCTTTCACGAATGAATTATCTATAGAAACAGAGTGGTCCTCCGCAAGCCACAGAGGAGTTTACTCTGGGAAGCGGAGAGGACAGACTGGGTTTCATAATGTTCGAGTGTGGATTGGAAGGCATTAAACTGAAAGTGGTGAAGAGATCGCAATTCGAGAAAGGCGAGAACGGAGGCGACAGCAAGAAAGTGGACACTGAAGTACTTTACACAGACAGTGTGAAAAGCCAAGAGGAATTAGATAACGCAGCCGGTATGGAATAATTCTAATTAAATTAATAAATATTGAACGCTCCGCGCGTATCTTTTATTAATTAAACCTCGTTCATTGTGACGCAGCACCCGCCGCAACAGCGACCGAACCAGAAACAGCATCAACGAATTTACCAAACGGAGTTCAAATAAATACCAGCGCCACGTGCGCCAGTCTTGCATCGAAAGCAGGAAATGGAAACACGGTCTCCTGCATCATAGAATTGAAGACAGTGTGGTTCAATTTCGCGGCCCCGCCGCGTACACCTATTACTAGAAAAATAGATTACACTCGATTAGATTGGAATTTGTTGAGCACAGCGTCGCCAGCCATAAACGCCTGGATGAATCCCAGCAATAAATTCGCAATGCGGATCGTGCACATGTTTAGGACTATGTACAGAAGATCGACGGCCATCGTGGCCTGTCTCATGGCGGAGGCGTTGGATGTGCAGGCAATCCATATGCCGGCTAAGGTATTTCATGTGTACTTTCATATTGGAAGAAAACAAGTGATCATTAATATTTATTCTAATTGTTCTTCAGAGTCGTTATGGAAGATTGACCCCGTTAGCTAAGACATTGCAAGAAGATCCATCGTGTCAATTATGTACAATACTACAGAATTACGTTCTACTGAACGATCTGACAAATATCGAAGCCAATTTGAAAGAGTCCGATTTACCTTTGTTGTCGACACTTCGTCAGGTAAATTGTGCTTCGAGGACTTCACTTTTCTTATTGTTTAATATTTAATATAATATTGAATCTTTAGGGTGTCATAGTGCTGAGTAGACAGTGGAAGAACGTCCTATACACGCCGTTATTATTGGAACATAATTACAAAACGAAACACGTGAAACCGTTGAACGTCACTTTTGCAGTGTCAGACCCGGAAGAGGTGAGAACAAACTCTTGTCTACGACGTAAACTGAAACAATTAACAACGTGTCTGAATTTTTGAGATATGTGGAATGGAATTCTCTGTCTATTGTTATGCCGATGCGACGATAACTATTATTACACGTATTAATTTCTTCTGAAGTAATCATTAACATTATATTTGTTTCTCTAACTGTTCGTACATATTGGACTTGGAATTACATAGTTCTCTCGTGTCACTGTAAATACTTTTAACAGGAAGTTTAATCTTTTTTTTTGTTTTTGTTTGTTTTTTTTCCTTTCGTTTCGTTTCATTTCGATAGCATAACGTCGATGTTATGGAAGAGGTTTTTCATTTCATTCGGAAGTATACGTGACAAAACTCGTATAGGGAACATAATTCGGTAGACGATTTTTTTTTCAGCAAGTAAGGAAGGAAGTGCCGACGGACGGTAGCAAAATAAAATGGCGTAAGAACTTTACAAATATTTGCACAAAGTAGTTCTAACACACTCATACTATTCCGTACAGAGAGCCTATCGATATCGGGATATCTTTTTCATAGTAACAAAACAATACGAAGCTTTTTACCATGTGACTAAAATCATATAACTCTGTTGTAAAATTTCGTAACACGTTAATGCGTTTGTCTGTTCTTTAACATGTCACACACCTCCTAACACCACGATCTACGAACACGAATTCTCTTCTGTTGTGAGCTTGTACGAAACGATAATGTCATTATAAAATAATAATAATTTTCCGTTCCATTTTGGAACAGAATCGTAATTTTCATTACACATTCATACACGTTCGAGTCGGTGATGGTTTTCTTAATCTCTTTGTGCAATACGTTATATAAATGTATATGTGAAAACTTTGCATTTTGTAATACTACAACGCGGACTTCCTGTGAAATTTAAAACTTCTGAGAACAATGTCTCCTAAAAGCTATTCTCACATTTATATTTCGTTCGGTCTATCGAGTATCATGTTTTACTAAGAAGTTTTTTAATTACTTTTAGTCTCTTGTACCTTGTTGCCGATTAAACAGATTGTTCAAACTGCAATTGTTAAAGAGACACTGGGTGAAAGTTTCTAGCTATACTTACTCGTTCACAGGAGAATTTGCTGACAGACGGTGAGGGTAGCGCAGGAGAAGTTGATGATCAGGAAGTCACAGATGAATGTGCTATGTTAATTCATACGGACCACATGCATAAACATATACATGTCAAGGGTGGACAAGATAAAACCACAGGTACTATAAATGATACTAAACAGAGTATTAATGACATAATACTATACCTCTACTATATACCTGAGATACGATATACATATTCAAATGATGAATGGTACGGTATCTGTACTATTCGATATGATTTTATGGGATTATCAAGTATCTTATCAGAAGAACTTCAATTGAATACACCTGCAGCTTCTTAGCATCTGCTTTAAATTGTGATCTCGGTAACTGCTTAATGTTTTACTATGCATTTCCATTATACATAATAGGCACATTATAGCATGTGCCGCTAGACATAGCGATTGTAAAGTATACTCCGGCATTATTGTTTAGTCCTTCCGTTAAGAACTCTTCTTTGTGTTCTATAAACGTTCATTTGCTTCTACTAGTATTATCTTGACCTTAATTATTATTATTATTAACACTAGACCTGTATACAGAGTTTTTTTGTTCTAAAATCGAGCGACTCCGAGAACGAGAGTCTCTCTCGGCGACTGGGTGACTAACGTTGCAAGTTTACTCTGCATGCAAGTCTCTCTTGAACGTACTTCAGTTTCGAGTACTATTTTTAGAGTATTATCCGTAGAGGTCAATCGAACGATTGCTTTTTTGTAAATAACATTATATGTATATGTCATACGAGGCTTCTTTCGAACATACTTTGGTAAAATATAATCTTTTGGGCTTTCTGAACAAAACACTCGGCTTGACACTCGGAATGAACAGGTATTTGTGGCGATGGTTTGACGGTTCCTGTAAGTTCTCCTCGGGGGAAAGATACAACCCCTATAGCAACACCGGTTCCAGGCCCGGATTCATTAACCTCCCCCTCTCCACCAGTAGTTCATCCAAAGAAAGGAAAATCACTACAGCCCACGCAAGTGCCTGCTAGTACACGAGCAAGTATTGTTTTTCCATTGCTTGCAAGTGGCGGGTTATTCAATCAAACTCGGGAACCAAATAACATAAGTAAGTGCGAGATGATCAGACTTCATAGATTTGGCGGTCTACACATTGGCGTAGTGTCGAATGAGAATTTAATTAGAATCGAACAAACCGAGCGCTCCCGACTCAATCGATTCACAATATCCCAGTGTGCAGACTGTTCCATGTGTATCGAATTACATAGTGCCATAAGTCTCCTCCCCGCAGTTTGTATCGCTTTGCACTTGAATCACGGCACAACTTTTTTGTCCATGCATCGACTCCCTGTTTTTTCTTCACACCTGTTACCGGCTTATTATTTCAGAATAGCACTCGTTTAGGTATCTATTCCATGTTTTTATTTCCCCCTTTGTATGTTACTCTATGCTTCTAATCCTCTAACATCGTTTCCCCACCCTCTGTGTACGATGAATGTTTCACTTGTCGGTCAAGTGTATGTAAGTATACAGAGAAGAACTTTGCGTTAGGTTACGGCACGCTCAAAGAAGAGAAGACACCTCAGATTCACATCTCTCATTCCCATCAACTCGGTTCAAATCCAAGCATCTATTCTGGCGGAGGGCATGGCAGTCAGCATAGCACCGGAAGCTTGGACCAAGTTACATCCCCAACAAGCCACCATTCCGCCAAGCCTTTGAACACTGGCGAAGACCTGTACAGTTGGATGGCCAAGCAGCAAGAGTTCATAAAGGATAACGATAAAAGCAATTTGAAAGGAAACTGGGTGAGTGTCGTCTCGACATCTGAACGATGATCCCGTGAAAATCGTTTCCTGTGGAAATGGTCGTTCTTTTTATTGTTATTCCTTTGGCATAGGTCTTTCGCGCAGAACAAAAGTCTTTGAAGGTATTTGAATACTTACATTTGACACCGATGTGTGTGACATTTTACGTAGCTGCAGTTCCATACATTCTGTACGATGCATCAGTTTGTCCCATGCGATCACGAACGTAAAATGCAAATATACTTTTTTACAGGACTCCAAGATCAATACGATGACAACTGATGATACAGAAGACTCGGATGTCCATAGTGGTACACTTCTTTATCCAATGAAAGATTCGCTCAGGCTGCTAGACGCGCATTTGATTTTCGAGCCACTTTTGTCTTCCTTATCCGTTATGCCGCAGCAAATGCTTTCTGCTATTGGTTCCGGGAATGTGAACAATGTGTCTTCCTTAGATTCATTAGGATTTAATCTGTCTTTGGTGGGGAACATGGAGACTATGCGCATCGATATTGTTGTTAGCGAATTCGGCAAAGTAACAGATAAGAAGAAAGGTATGTAATTAACAAATGAAAGTAATGACAACGCTTGTCGCAACAGAACATATTTGATCTCGTCGTGCACTAACACGGAGAAACTTGGCTGATGCAGGCAATAAATATCAAACGAAGAAAGGCAACAACTCGAAATTCCATTTGGACATACCGCCGGAAACGCCGGCGTTCTTGTGCGAGAAGATCGGCATTGACATAGACGTGAAGAAAATGGCCGACATGACCGTAGACGATATGATTCAAAAGCAAACTGTTCTGTACATATCGCGGGGCCAATTGAAAAAGCATACAAGTACAGTTGTGAATTTTAGTTTAAATATTCGGTACATTAGCCAACAAGTAAATATGCCTCTTCTCAGATTATTACATCAGATTAGTAATATGTATCAGAATGTTAAGGAAACCCAGATGGAATTGAAAGAGCAGCAGCCGGAGAACAAGCGAAACAATAATCTGATCGTTAACGACATTACGGCCAAGAATGGTTCATCGTCAAGTAAATATATATTTCGCGAGAACGCGTTGGCTTCTTTTTTTTGGAATTATTTTCGCTTAGGTTTAACGTTCCTGTGTTTACCCAACAGCGTCCGATCTACAAGAACAGCTTTTACTAGGTGGTAAGAAGATGGATATTCCTCTGCTGCGAAACAGTTTCGAGCCGAATCTGTCGAAAGTCACGTCGCCTGAAACGAACAGCCGATCGCGTCCGCAAAGTTTCGCCCAGAAGCTGCGTAGCACCGGGAAAAGCGTGAAAGGCTACATTAATCTGAGCGAGGGTGTGATAACTCCGAATTTCGGTGCGAGTCCAAGCGGATCCGGCTTGGACAAGTTCTGCGTGCTCCCCGACAAATGCAAAGACACGCCGCACACGACGCCCCGATGTTGGAAAACGATCTACTATCTGCTGGATTTGTACGCGACGCGGCCAGAGACTAAAACAATCGCGCATCGTTTCTCCATACCGGCGGACGCGTCGGAGCACTATAAAAGCGGTCGGAAGTACGAGCTGCTGAACGAAACAAAAGACGCGGACATCGAGAAAGGAATGACAGCTGAAAACAGTTCGACACCTGTGCCTCTTCCTAGGGAACTAAGTTAGTATACACAGATCCGTGGTCTTCCTACCGCCGGAAATCCAACAGATTTTCGTGACTCAATTTATTTTGTAACAATGTACTACAGGTATCGTTACAGGAGAACGTACGAGATTAATTATCTTCGGCGTTGCTAGGATACACAGAACCAGATGGTTAGCCACTCTGAGCGGCTTGAAACTCGAAGCGGAGATAACGAGTCTGCACGCGAGTCTGACTTGCTGTAAGAAATCGAGGCCGGCGAGTTTCGAGTGTAGCTTGACTGGACAGATAGGCAGAACTATGATCGTCTTACTAGAAGGCGTAGCTCCTAGCCAACAGACAGTTGTGAAAGTGACCGTGGGGAAGTCGCAGGCTTTGTACTCCAGCATCAGTAAGCATCAGAAGGACAAGAATAGCGGTCTGCTGACTGTCGGTGTTGTGAACATAGATATTCCACAACATCCGGTGGCTTTGCACGGCATGATGACCAGAGGCAGCAAACAGTTGTCGTCGACTTTACAGGTAAGTCTGAATACTTCTTCCTTATTTACTGTTCTCTTGATATATTTATCTACAGCAGTGTGAGTAATTATAGACTCAAAGTAACTTTTACGCTTTCAGCAATACATAAACAAAATCTTAATGATACATCACATTTGTATATTTTTATTTTCTATTATTTCTAATATAGAAATATACAAATATAGATTTTATCTTAGCTGTGTCGAGGTTATTTAAATAATTGTAAAAATGTAAAAGTTACTCTGAGTTTATAATTATTCACAGTACTGTAGGTGGTTTCTTTTAGCAGAGTCGTTCTGTATATTGAAAAAAGAAACTTAACTGTATGGTAACTGGATCGCCTAATTTTGATCTAGGAACTCAGAGTAACCAGAACCTCCTCGAGAATGTCCAGAGGCCAACAGCAGGACGACGTGGATACAGGTGTACCTGGTAGTCCGCATCACTACACCACAGTACCACCAGTTGACATACAGAAGCCACAAGTTGTGTCCAGCCTGCTGGAGCCAATTGTCATGCAGTTCAACATTATTCTTCAGAGCCTGAGCATAACAGCGGCTTTGCTGCCGTCTTTGCAAGCACAGTACAAAATGGATCAAGTTACTAGCTCCGGTATAACCGGCAGTAAAGCCAAGTTCACAATAGACCTACCTCATCACACCCTGAGCTTCACGACGAAGCTCCAGGTGACTGAAGCGAATTTACCTTCTGAGGCGAGCATTGAGCTTCCCAAAGTGCACGTGTCCGCGCAATACGTTCAGGACGGCAGCAGCAACATGAACGACAGCAAATTGGCTGGTCAGTGTCGGCTACGACGAATCCCTAGAGTATGAATGTCCCCAATTAAATTTCTTCGAATTCGCAGACGGTGTGGTGTTGCGGCAGGGCAGCTATCTGAGCGCCACCGCCGACATCGGTGTATTCGAACATTCCTTGACCACGGACCTCCTCAACCACCTGGTGTTTGTGCAGAAAGTGTTCATGAAAGAAGTCAACGAAGTTGTGCAGAAAGTTTACGGCGGGGAGAAACCGGTTCCCTTGTGGCTGGAAGACGAGGAACCGAATAACTCGCCGGTGAAGAGAATATTGTTCTCGTTGATTATTCGCATTGAGGTACAACGATATGATGTTACGTTTATCGTCCTTAACACTAGACCTACCAAGCACTAAAGACGTCCAACATGCGTTGTTTCATAAGAATCGCAAGACTGAATTTACTTAGACATCTTGCCATTTTTATTATAACGTGAAATTTATTCAATCATTTCCTACAAAAGTGTCTCTGTGATACCAAAAATGTTAAAATAAAAAACCAACCGGCATGGTAGGTTTAGTGTTAAACGCTGTATTTCGTGTCGTCCCCGTGACTTCTTTATTGTGTACAGAGAGTGCAACTGACCGCGACGANTAGCCAACAGACAGTTGTGAAAGTGACCGTGGGGAAGTCGCAGGCTTTGTACTCCAGCATCAGTAAGCATCAGAAGGACAAGAATAGCGGTCTGCTGACTGTCGGTGTTGTGAACATAGATATTCCACAACATCCGGTGGCTTTGCACGGCATGATGACCAGAGGCAGCAAACAGTTGTCGTCGACTTTACAGGTAAGTCTGAATACTTCTTCCTTATTTACTGTTCTCTTGATATATTTATCTACAGCAGTGTGAGTAATTATAGACTCAAAGTAACTTTTACGCTTTCAGCAATACATAAACAAAATCTTAATGATACATCACATTTGTATATTTTTATTTTCTATTATTTCTAATATAGAAATATACAAATATAGATTTTATCTTAGCTGTGTCGAGGTTATTTAAATAATTGTAAAAATGTAAAAGTTACTCTGAGTTTATAATTATTCACAGTACTGTAGGTGGTTTCTTTTAGCAGAGTCGTTCTGTATATTGAAAAAAGAAACTTAACTGTATGGTAACTGGATCGCCTAATTTTGATCTAGGAACTCAGAGTAACCAGAACCTCCTCGAGAATGTCCAGAGGCCAACAGCAGGACGACGTGGATACAGGTGTACCTGGTAGTCCGCATCACTACACCACAGTACCACCAGTTGACATACAGAAGCCACAAGTTGTGTCCAGCCTGCTGGAGCCAATTGTCATGCAGTTCAACATTATTCTTCAGAGCCTGAGCATAACAGCGGCTTTGCTGCCGTCTTTGCAAGCACAGTACAAAATGGATCAAGTTACTAGCTCCGGTATAACCGGCAGTAAAGCCAAGTTCACAATAGACCTACCTCATCACACCCTGAGCTTCACGACGAAGCTCCAGGTGACTGAAGCGAATTTACCTTCTGAGGCGAGCATTGAGCTTCCCAAAGTGCACGTGTCCGCGCAATACGTTCAGGACGGCAGCAGCAACATGAACGACAGCAAATTGGCTGGTCAGTGTCGGCTACGACGAATCCCTAGAGTATGAATGTCCCCAATTAAATTTCTTCGAATTCGCAGACGGTGTGGTGTTGCGGCAGGGCAGCTATCTGAGCGCCACCGCCGACATCGGTGTATTCGAACATTCCTTGACCACGGACCTCCTCAACCACCTGGTGTTTGTGCAGAAAGTGTTCATGAAAGAAGTCAACGAAGTTGTGCAGAAAGTTTACGGCGGGGAGAAACCGGTTCCCTTGTGGCTGGAAGACGAGGAACCGAATAACTCGCCGGTGAAGAGAATATTGTTCTCGTTGATTATTCGCATTGAGGTACAACGATATGATGTTACGTTTATCGTCCTTAACACTAGACCTACCAAGCACTAAAGACGTCCAACATGCGTTGTTTCATAAGAATCGCAAGACTGAATTTACTTAGACATCTTGCCATTTTTATTATAACGTGAAATTTATTCAATCATTTCCTACAAAAGTGTCTCTGTGATACCAAAAATGTTAAAATAAAAAACCAACCGGCATGGTAGGTTTAGTGTTAAACGCTGTATTTCGTGTCGTCCCCGTGACTTCTTTATTGTGTACAGAGAGTGCAACTGACCGCGACGACACCGACGAATTCGGCGGTGCGCTTGGAGACCGGAGCCGTTGAACTTCAACTGTCCAACAGAGTGCAGAACGTTGTCGGCGCCACCCAACCGAACCCGTATATGAAGCTGTTCGGAAAGGCGCAGGTCGACATCAACCTGAGCCTCGGACAGTTGCTGAAGAACGTCCTGTTCGAAGAGGCGGAGACCGAGTTCCAGCAGTTCGCGTTCTTCAACACCAGAGTAGGATTACGGAATGCCTTCCAAGAGGAAATGGCGCAGGGCGAGGACAAAGAAGTGGTATTAATTACGTTGAAACGGCCGTTGATCTACATCCAGCCGGTGGCCATCGACAAAGCGATACTGGTCTGGCTGAATTACAAGAACGCGTACGAATACTGGAACGAGAAGAGAGCGAACTTGAACAAAGAGGTTCTGACAGCTACGCAGCAGGTGTTCGAGAAGGTTCCATTCGGTCAGATAACCAGCCAGCTCAGCGCTCCACACTTGGGAACCCTGTTCCTGCAGCTGACAGTAGACGACATGGGTATTTGTGTGCCGCTGAATCCTCTGCCACCAACATGGGGGATGAACAGAGGACTCTACGATGGGGAATCGAGGGATGCTGTCGTAGTGACATTGGAGAACACGAGCATATCTGCGTGCAGCAGTGGTAGCTTGGTCAGTAAAGGAAGGTATGCTGTTCCCTAACCCTGTTCTACTGGATGCCTCGAGAGGTGCAATTCAGTTCCTGAGAGGAACGCTTGCTTGCTTCCCTAGCAAGTGTACCCACTGCGAAGCATCTGGTATCTAAGCACATCTTGCAAGTGGGCTTTATAATATAGTGATTGTGTCGTACAGGTTCATGGGCTTGTGCTTGAGATTCGCCGAGGACTTTGAAACTTCCTTGGACGATTGGAAACCAGACGCGACTGACAGCAGTATAATGAACTTATGCATGGTGTCCGAGGGCACTTATGAAGTGTGCAGCAGAACGATCGCGCAGAAACCAGACAAATCTGGTAATGGAAGCACAGTTGTGTCCTAATCAATTTTTATGGATTCTATGTAAACAACGTCGCATTAATTTCTAGATAATGCCAAGTGGATTTTGAATGTGCAATGGCAAATGGAAGGCGTCGACATACATTTGGACGTCAGTGTCGGTCAGCAGCTTTCGGCTCTCGGACACACGTTGACGATGCTGACTGGCTCTGAAGAGGACGACATTCATGCACCCGCCGAATACGACAGCGATGACGCGGACCAACCAGATAATAGCACTAGCCAGGTTAAAAAAAAAGTATGGTTTAATTACATTTATTTTGTCCTAAAACACTATCCCATCGGTTCGGTAACGTATTGATGATGATTCCCCTCTCGTTTCCCAGATCCACGTTTCAGTTTCACGTTTCCACGACGCTTTTAATCGTCGCACCTTGATAGACGTATGCGAATGCTTTTTCAGGAGAGTATACTGATGAAGAAGTCAAAGAACTGGACGGACAGTTTGCCGGCGTTCGTCTTCGACCCGACGCTCGACGCTAAGAAAAGGTCCAAGCTGATCGAGAAGGAGATGAACGAACAAGCGAAGATCATAAATGATCTGCGATCGCTGGGTGCTTCTCATGGAACCATCGAACAGGAAATGAAGCGCCTGCACGAGCTGGAGGCTGTTGTGTTCAAAGATTTCAGAAGGTACGAGGCACCGTAAATTGCATTAATTAATGCACCGTAAGTAATGCACCGATGTGCATTAATTATTTCTTCTCGGACTGTCCAGAGACATGATACAGAAGTTACGGAGACAGTCGGTGAAAGCGTCCGGAATAAAAGGTAAATTAGGACTTGGTGGTAAGACAAACGCATATCGATCACGGTCATTTATAGTGCCATCGCCGACACTTGAAAATCAGCTAGAGAGTCCTGAAGACATAAACATGGAGGTCAATTCGGCCAACTCCGCCAGTTACGAAAGTAGTCCTAGAAGTGGCCCGAGTCGGTACGATTTTTCTTCCTCCGTCGATTCTTTCATATTTTTCTTTTCACATACAGGGTGTCCCAAAAATGTGTCGGAATCCGGAATTTTGATGGATTCCTGAGTTCATTCGAAGCAACTTTTTCCTTAGCGAAAATGGTCTGCGAGGCTTCGTTCGCGAGTTATCGGCGAAAAACGTGGACGTTTTCGTTAATAACTCGCGAATGAAGCCTCGTAGAACATTTTCACAAAGGAAAAAGTTGTTTCGAATAATCTCAGGAACCCCTATTTACGGGCTGCGAAACATTTTTCGGACTCCCTGTATGTTTTATCTGCGCGTCAACGAACACCAATTTGCAGGTCCGCTTCTCTCCGAGTGAGGGGCCTCGGTGGCCCGCGAGTTACGTTCAGCGACACGCACACGATGGGAAGGTATGTTAGGTAGGTTCGCCGAGCAAGCGAGTAATCATGATCAACATAACTTCGTGATTTAGGCAATCGTCGCTGCCGAGTGCCGGCTCGGAGCTGAGCTTGCCGGAAGGTGAGCTGGACTGGCCGCAGACTATCGAGATCGAGGGCGAAAGGGTCGAGCTGCGGAAGAAGAGCAGAGATATCAGTTGCACCTCGAGTTACGACAGCATGGAGGGGAAGTACGTACCAAGTTCAATTTCCAAAACGTATTAAAAAGTCTCTTATGGTTACGACAGTACACTAAAGTCTTTGTTCTCGAATTTCCAGCGCTCCGTTGCTCGATTCGTTCGCGAAGGAGCAATCCTCCTCGACGTCGTCGCCTTACATAACAGCTCAGAAACCTCAGGATCCGAACATAGACTTCGAACTGGACGTGAAGGTTCTGATCAACAGCGGACAGTGCGTGCTTCATACGAAAGACCCTGGGAAGGAGGACGAAATTAAAATGTAAACCTCTGACTCGGTTCTCCGCGAGTCTTCCTGAATTAACCGACACGTTTTCCTTCGCAGCATGAGCAGAATGAAAAAGGAACGATCATGTTCAGGAGGCACGTTCGAGTTTCAGCCGAGCAGTCCCAGCAGCAGCAGGAAACACCTGAGCAGCAAGGAGAAGTCGTCAACCACCAGCACGTCGCGGTTGCGGTATCTTCAGCATCCAAATGTACCCTTGGTGGATTTGACCATTTTTCATATTCCTGGCTTGGACGTGAAGGTAGAGGAACGCTTATTTCCCCACGGTGTGCACACAAAAGTGTAGGCCACTTTTTAAAACGTGATAACTATTTTAAAACTGAACCGAATGACTGGAATATTTTTTAGATGATAGAAGGACTAGTCTACTAAATGATGGCTAAAAGCTTACTCTTTTAATTTTGCTATTGTAATGACAAAAAGATAATCTCCCGCTTTCTAACTTCTTTATCCGAGCCTGTTTTATCTGAGCATTTTTTAAGGCTCAGATAAAAACCTTAAAAAGGCGAGTGTTTTTAAATTTCTCCTCTTCATTCCAAGTAATAGCAAAATTAAAGAAAAAGCTTTTAGTCGTCATCTAGCAGACCCTCTATCACCTAAAAAATATTCAAGCCACTCGGTTCAATTTTGAAAAAGTTATTGCGTTTGGAAAGGTGCGCGGACAGTTTTGTAGGCTATTCTACACGGTGCTTCGCCTATCGCTACATTCGTTTCCCCGTATTGTCCAGGTGCACTACGAATCGAAGACGCTTCCCGAAGAATCGATGTCTCCCCGCGTGTCCTCGGACAACGCTATGCTGAATCCCACGCCGTCAGCGTCCGCGTTCAGAAAGTCCAGCACAAAGAAGGCCAGCCTGTTCGCGTGGATGACGCTGCAGAGCATACCGGAGGAGACGATAATAAGCCCGCACATCCTCGAGTTTCTAGAGCAAACGTTAGAGCCGATACCGTGCAAAGCGAACTTCCCGAGTAACGCGCAAACGAACCCGGTCTACACCAGTGAGAACACGGAGAGCACGTCCTGGGCAGCCACAGCGGCGAGCAGCAGCAATTACGTGTACGCGAGTTTCCCCGTCGACGTGATAGTATATTTTCATATGCAGCCCTCTACGTTCAGGTGCGCCTGCGATATCTCAATTAACCGGCCAACGATGGCCTATCGTCTTCAAGTCCCACTATCTCTTCCGATCGTCTTTTCAGGTTCTCCTGCTTGCCGGTGTCCCGCGTCGAATGTATGCTTCAATTGCCGTCCCTTGACATCGTATTTTCGTCCAAGCGAGCAGAAGAGGAGCTCATCGAGTTCCGGGAGTACAAGACTCCGGGCACGCAGTCCACGGGGAAGGAATCGAGCTCGGCGATCGGTGGATTATCGGTCACCGGTTGTCTCGCCGACTTCTCCATTTATATCTTCCATCCGTACGGCGGCGGGAAGAAGACCGGCTTGAAGGAGGCCCAGTGGTCGCCGCTGTCGGACAGCGAGAGAAAGGATTCTTTGAGCATCAACGTCGAGTTCGTGAAGTTCCATATAGCGAGAAGCAGGAAGCTGAACTTCCAGAGCGAGCAGTCCAAGAAGATGTTGGATACCAGCCGCGCAGTTATACGATTTTCTAGTACGTGAAATCTTGTCTTAAAGATAAGACTAAAATGTTATATGATAGAATAAGTAATGCGAAAGATGTGACAAGGCTGACGTGCAAGCCATGAATTAATTACAAAATGTCCGGTAATGAGTCTATGTCGAATTTGCGTTAACAAAGGCGAGCGTCACTTTGAAATGGAGATATAGAGTCCTCGCGCGACATAAAGGCACCTCTGGCGGTTAGCGTTCCGCCACTGCCGCAGCTAGTGGCCGAAGGATCCCAGTCTATAGACATATACATTTAACAGCATTTAAATGATATTTCGTATTTTATTAATATTTTGTATCGCAAAGCATTTACGGACTGAAGCATGTACAAAAAAAGCGCGCAATACACCCAGTATATTTTTCAATTAATTTTACAGCAATCGTCGATTTCGGGTCAGCATCGTTCAAGTACGATATGCGAAGATTGAGCGAGATATTGGCATTCCCAAAGGCGTGGTACAGGCGCAGCATAATGCGACGATTGTTTCTGGGCGATCTGAGCTCCGGCACAGCGTACTCCGAGGGCGACGGCAGCCCTTCTATGAATCAGGAGGAGGCCGTGATGGGAAGTTCTTTGTTGAAACATTACGACCGGCAGCATGGGGCCAACGGTCTGTCGAAAAGCGCCCCGGAACGGAGTCCGACCTTGAACAGGGACAAGCTGAGGCTGAGCCTGGAGAGCGATATGCCGAAGCACGCGCGGCTAAAAGGTTATTATATGTATATAATATATAATATGATATATATAATATAATATATAATAAAAAAATATACAATACAAAATATAATATATATAATATAATAAATAATAAAAAATATAATATGTAATATAATAAATAATAAAAGATATAATACATATAATAAAATATACAATAAAAATATAATATATATAATATAATAAAATATATAATAAAAATATAATATATATAATAAAATGTACAAAAAAATATAATATAGATAATATAATAAATAATAAAAAAATATAATATATATAATAAAATATATAATATCATATATTTTATATAATTATACATTTTGCTTGAGCTGTTCCACGGTGAGCTGATCGACCTAACATTGTTTTTTGGTACCAGATATCGGCAGAGGCTGGAGCTTCACCTCGGACAAACAGGCGGCCTCGGAAGTGAAGCTGCGAGAAGCCGCGTGGGAGACGTTGGTGTTGTTCGCCATCAATTTCACCCGGCTGAACGTTCACATGAATATGAGCAACGTGATGGGCAACGTCACCTGGATGACGAAGGATTTCAGCTCGGACGGGAGGCTCTCGATCGGCAGCACCGGGCACAAAAATCTGTACATAGGCGTCGGCTTGGAAGGGTCCTGTCTGGATGCGAAGGGCGGCATCGTAGGCGGCACTATAGAATTGAGCAAAATAGACACGTGCAGTAAGTCATCGGCGACGACGTTCTCGCGTCTCAATTGTTCAGATTTCATATATTGATACTGTTTCCATACCCTTGCAGTACGTATCCGAGAAGAGCCTGGAATAGAACCGGACCACACACTGGGCTTGACGCTGTTCGCGCTGGAACTGCGACTGGATTACATGGGGACCAGCGTGCTGATGTCTAGGGTCTCCTCGTTGGACGTTACTTTGCGGGACGAGTGGAAGATCAGCCGCAGTCACAGCGGTGACACCTTCATGCCGACGAGGAGGCCGGCGATAATCTTCATTCACGGGGACTTGGGATGGGATCAGCTACAGATCATGATCAGCAAATCGACGACGGCTGACCTGCTGAAGATGTACTACAAGCTGGACGAGTTTTTCAACCAGCAGTTCAAGAGCAGCAAACGGGTGTTCAGTTCTTTGCAGCCGAAGCATCAGAGGGTGAACAATAGCAGCTTCAGGAAGAGGCAGATGAAGTACAGGTCCACCGGTGAAGGTAAACGCAGAGTGTTAACAACGCCGCTTGCTGATATGTTAATGTTAAATTGTGACCGCAGCTCAGTGCAATATAAATCAAGCGACGATGTCGGATGCGCGCCATCACAGACACTGGCAGGGTGTGTTAGCCCAAGTGGCGGACCTTCAGCTGGGAAGCTTGAGGTTCTCTCTGCCGACAACGGGAACCGTGCTCGGCGGAACGATGGAGCTCCATGGCTGCAACATCAGCTTGGCCTGCTTCCACGGAATCAATTTCAAGAGCAAAAGCTGGGCACTGTTCTCGCTGAAGGAACCGTGCATCAGTTTTGCAACGGAGGCTCAGGAAATCCCAAGCGTTGAATGTAGGAGGAATTGTTACCAATCTGGTTCCAATTGTAATTGCAAGGGTAATTCTTAAAGGGTACACAATTTTTCAGCGCCGAACACCTGTGACGTCCATGTCGTGCAGACGTTGACCATCAGCTTGGGCCAACAACAGGAGCAACACGCGAGGCATCATTCGATGGCCACAGTTTGCAGATTGAGTCGCAGCGTTCTGTTCCCCCCGCAGTTCAAATCGTTGCAGGAATGGTTCCATTATGCGTTTGCTAGCAGCGAAATCGATGGTATGTTGTAATGGATTATGTCTATTTAGTGATTTGTGTTAAAGTATGTGTGGTTAGTGATTTGTATTGAAGTATGTTTATTCGATGATTTGTGTTGAAGTTTATTTATTCAGTGATTTGTGTTGAAGTATGTTTATTCAGTGATTTATATTAAAGTGTATTTTTTCAGTGATTTATCTTGAAGTATATTTATTCAGTGATTTATATCGAAGTATATTTATTCAGTGATTTATATTGAAGTATATTTATTCAGTGATTTATATCGAAGTATATTTATTCAGTGACTTATACTGAAGTATATTTATTCAGTGATTTATATTGAAGTATATTTATTCATTGTCTTATATTGAAGTATATTTATTCACTGACTTATATTGAAGTATATTTACTCAGTGATTTATATTGAAGTATATTTATTCACCGACTTATATTGAAGTATATTTATTCAGTGATTTATATCGAAGTATATTTATTCAGTGATTTATATTGAAGTATATTTATTCAGTGATTTATATCGAAGTATATTTATTCAGTGACTTATACTGAAGTATATTTATTCAGTGATTTATATTGAAGTATATTTATTCATTGTCTTATATTGAAGTATATTTATTCACTGACTTATATTGAAGTATATTTACTCAGTGATTTATATTGAAGTATATTTATTCACCGACTTATATTGAAGTATATTTATTCAGTGATTCATATTGAAGTATATTTATTCAATGATTTGTTCTCTTTATAGCGGTGGATCGGTTTCCTTGTGTCGAAAGAGAACGCACAGACAGCACATCTGACAGCGGTAACGTGACACGTGGTCGAAGTACGTCTACCACTTCCGGAAAATTGCAGGAGCACTCTCACGCGAGAGAAGTGATATTTGCTCTGCCGTCGTTGCAATTGTACTTGAAAACCGAGCATCTGCAGACAGCGAAAACACCGGACGTCGTTGGTGAGTTGAACAGGGAGTGATTCACTCAAAGAGGGGTGACACATGCGTGAAAACAATGACCACGACCATATACTGTTTCTTTCAATCTCTATAAAAATGTCAAAGATATGGTTTTGTTCAGAAAAAGAAAACAAAAAAAGAAATTGTTCCTCTGAATTGTTGCAACTATCTTGTTCGTATATTTTTAGGAGCGCCTAAACATATTTTATATAGTAAGTACAACGTGAATGTTGACTTCAATCGAGTCCGGTAAGACGCATCATGCGACCCGTAGAGCGCTATTGTATGAGAGTTGATTTTGCATGACACGTTTATAGAAGGCTGAGAGGACGCTGAGATTCGCGTGCACATTTTTATACCTTGATAGATTCGTGTGTACTTTAACTCGACTAATTGCGCATGTTGTGCACAGACTAATACGATTAATGTTTTCTACAACGATCGTTATAATTGCGTGACGCGTAAAGAAATCGTGAAGCAAGCTGATTCGATTCACGACCGGCTCCATTGTCGACGATGAAGAGCAACCGCTTTGTCCCATTAAATAGAGTAGTAAACTTGTTGCACCGAGAAACTCGTCCCAAAAGTCACGCGATAAAACTATTCTACTGACTGCATAACCGTAGACACCATTAGGCTGTTGTTAACTCCTAGAGCATTTTGGACTAATACTTCAATCACATTTATGCAAAAATAACAACCGCATAGTGCTACAAATATTTGAATCAGCGTCAGCAATGCAGTCGCTAATAATTATTTATTTAACAGGTGAGAAACCGTTAGTCGAATGTAGTTTTATAACAGAGTTTGAGGACCATATCTTTGTTACCGTGGATGCGGAGGCCTTCTTCTTCTTGCACGATTTGATCACCTCATACGTAAAAGAAAAAGTGGTAAGTGCAATTGTTGGTTCCATTTCTCACTGAATCGAAACCACTTTTGCCTTCCAGTTGTTTCATGCATTGTTATTGTGCAGAATATGGGTGCGCACAGTCCAGATGCCCAGGATAAGAGGAGCGGTAGTTCCACCGCCAGCACTTCCGGTACAGCGTCGACAACATCGGATGATGACAAGAAACGGAAACAGTTTGATCCAACAGATATGTTCATTAAAGATTGGAGATCGTACAGATGCAAAACTTGGCACTTGGAACCGACTGTGAGGTAATATATAGCTTCTCATACAAATTTATCTGCAAACTACACGCTTTAGCTGTCAAAATAAAAATTGTCTGCATCAATTGCAAGATGTAGTAGGAGCTAAGTGCAACATTTTTTCTTCCTTAACCCTTTGCGCTGCAAGGTATTTTCTTCATTTGATCTCAGAATTTGCTATAATGCAAGCTAAGTGTACTCCCATGTGTAACTTTGCAACCTAAATGGATCTAGAGATGCTACAATTGTTCTGCGCACCACACATGTAATTGCTTTTAATCTTTTTGCTGTCTTATGTTTCACCTAGCCATTTATCGGTTAGCGTAGTATTATAATATTTAGCATTTTATACACTTAACATATTAATATTTAGCGTTCTATTATAACATTTAGTGTCATAATATTTTATTGTAATATTTGGCACAAAATACTGGTTACGTACTGTGACATTTTAACATTTTGCTCGAATAACATCCTGCCTCCCAACAGATTGCTCTCATGGGCCGGCAAGAGCATCGAGCCCTACGGCATCGACTACATCCTGCAGAAGCTAGGATTCTCTCACGCCCGTACAACGATACCAAAATGGATTCAACGAGGCTTCATGGACCCGTTAGACAAATTGCTGGCCATTCTTATGTTAAGAATGGTCTCGGCGGTGCGCGAGGAGTCGTCGGAAGAGCAGAAGGAGCACAAGCGTGACAAGTGAATCGCGGGGAATAAAATAGGCGCATAGGGTATAAGTAATAATAATCGTCCGTCATAGTAAAGTTCTATCGACAGAGATAAATAATAAGGCACGTACGCTTCTCCGTTCTCTTCCCGGCGACGCGCGCAAACGAACGTCGCTCGCGATCATTCCTCGACGAGGGAATCGCGACGGGCATTGCTCCTGAATCGTAGAATCGCGAGACGTAATTATACGGGGACACACATTAGGGGACATTTGTACGAAATGTAATTAGTGAAGTGCAACCTGTTATCGATATTTCCGTTTTGAACGTGTTAGATATTGCACAGAACGTCGCGGACACGGTCCGGCAGCGTTTAGAATATAATGTAATGTACGTGCGTATACATATTAACAGTGTTCAACGACGCCGCGTTATATTTTCATAACGTAATCCACCGGGAGCTTCAGTTCGGAGACGATGTTTCTCGCCACTCGGATTCGCGACTCTAATTAGTAATGTTACCGCGATGTCGAGACGCATTTCCTGTACGGCGTCCCATAATTACGTTAACACCCGGAATGGGGTGATTCCTGGGCTCATTCGAAGCAACTTTTTCTTTAGCGAAAATGTTCTATGAGGCTCCGTTCGTTAGTTATTGGCGAAAAACGCGGGCCAATTAGAGCGCGAGGGCGGAGCGAGTGCGAGCGTGAGCGTGGCGCCGTAGGTATCCGTTGATAACTCGTGAACGAGGCGTCGTAGAGCATTTTCGCAATGGATAAAGTTACTCCGAATGACAGGAATCCGGTTCTTCACGTAATTACGGGACACCCTGTAATATTCGGGCCCGGGACAGTGCCGGGTACTTCAGCTTTAGAATTTTATAAATTGCGTTCGTGCGCCGTGCAGAGACAACGGTGCCCCGGTTATGTTTTCTTACGACCGCGTGTATGTGTTCAATAATTTAGGTTGCCATATTTAAGGCGGTTCCAGGAAAGCAATTTACTTTATTCTTCCACGAAGTTCGCAATCCGTGGCTAAAACCGTAGCACATAGAATGTTCCAAGCGAGAACCAACGGTTTGCTTCCGGGCAACGTGGTCCGATCATTGTTTTCCTTTTTTCTTGGTCCGTGCCCTATTTACTATAAACTGTTAATATTCTTTCCTCTTTTCTGTACGATTTTCGACGAACCGCTCAGTTCGGAATGGAATTCAAACACGAGACTGCTCAGCTGTGCCGGGCTTCGGACGTCCAGCAAATCCCACCAATTAGAAACGGCATTTCTTAGGCGCGGGCACCCGTGTTGTCTCTGCCCGGCGCGTAGTCTGTACAGTTCGTAGTGGTTTAAGACGTCACGCGCCTAGATAAGGAGACAAAGGGATTCGGAAGAGGGATACGTTGCAGCTTCGTTAGGGCGCGCTGTGCGGGGGGGGGGGGGGGGGGGGTTCTT